GCCCATGGCTCAACTCTTCTTTACAACCTTCCTATTATCTCGAGCGTGGTCCTCTGCAGGTGTCTTATGACTCCTGTCATTCACTCTTGCCCCTATGCTGTCAATTTTTCACTCCACAGACAAAATGATTCATCCAACATACCAATTTGCTCCTGAACATCATTTTCCCTCACCCTCTCCATTGAACTAAAACCTACAGTGCTCCAGTGGTCTGGCCAACCCACCTCTGCAGCCTTATCTTATGCCCACCTTGTTCTTCCCAATCTAGCCGTGGCTTCCTTCTTTCGGTTCCTTGTCCTCATACTATTACCTGCCCCAGGGCCTTTGCCTATGCTTATCTCTCTATGTGGAATACTTTCCTTTATCCTCTTTGCTTGATTAGCCCTCTATTCATTCTTTGGATCTTGATAGTCACTTCCCCAGTGATGTGCTCCCTCATTTCCTTGATCGAGTCCCATTGCATGCTCTTAAGGATGAAGCATCTGTCATTTTTACACTTGTGAGAATGTTTGATTTACATCCACATCTGCCTGAGAACTGTGAGTTCTATGAAGCCATAGATTATGTATGTTTTTTCTTTATGACATTCCTTTACTCAGTGTCTGGCATACGGCACATATTACAGATGGACAGAAGAGATGGAGGCGGGAAGGAGGGAAGGTGGAGTTGAGTCAATCTAAAACATGCCCCTTTGGATTCTTCTAGTGGTGGAGAATTCACTGACCTGAAGCCAGATCATTCTGGTTTTCATAGTTTTAATAATTGGAGAAATCTGTTCTTTTCGGGTCTAATCTCTCCTTGTGCCTCTTCCCCCTGGCCCTGGTTCTGTTCCTGGAGTGCTAAATCACACCTGCAGCCCCCTTTCTGCATGGTTCAGACAGATCTGGGTCCTCTCCAGTCAGCCTTTTAAAGCATCTTTACTGTCAGAGTACTGTCATTGGGGGGAAGGGTAAAGTGATTCTCCAGGGTCAGCGTCAGGTGCAAACGTTTGTTGGCGTGCCTTGAAGGCCCTAGTTTTCATGTGACTGTTGTATCCTACTCAAGATAATGTTTCTCTTCATAAATAAGATATTCCAATAAATAGATATTCCAATAAAACTGCCACTTCAGCATGCTGTGCCTTGCCAGTCGAGAAGCCTTGAGTGCCTCAGGAATCTCACTGCTGTCTGAGAATTAGCACCCCTCTTTAGAAACTGGTTTCTTCTTTATGATGTAAAACATCTCCCAAAGTATTTAAAATCAGCATACTACAGTGACACAGCCACATCGATGTTTGTAACAGCTCAATTCACAATAGCCAAACTATGGAACCAAACTAGGTGCCCTTCAACAGATGAATGGGTAAAGAAAATGTGAGTGTGTGTGTGTGTGTGTGTGTGTGTGTGTGTATACACACATACACACAATGGAATATTATTGAGCTATAAAGAAGAACAAAATTATGGCATTTGCTGGTAAATGAATGGATCTGTAGACTATTATGCTAAGTGAAATAAGCCAATCCCAAAACACCAAAAAGCTGAATGTTCTTTCTGATATATGTATGCTAACTCACAAGAAGAGAGGGTAGGGATGTGCTTTAGTCAGCTTTTTTGCTGCTGTGACTAAAAGGATCCAACCAGAACAATTATAAAGGAGGAAACGTTTAATTTGAGTGCTCATGGTTTCAGAGATCTTAGTCTTAGATCTTACTTGATGTACATGGAAATATACACACATCAAGTTCCATATCCACTCTGGAACCAATTTCTAAATAGGCTAGGGTAAATTGTGCTTCAATGACAAAAAATACCCAAACTACGATGACAGCAAAGGCTAATTTCTTGCTCGTGTTACCTGTTCATCCTTTGTCAGAGAGGTCTTTTGCTTATCCTCATCCCCAAGGGACCCAGAGCAGCAAACCAGCAATCAAGTTTAACACTTCTAGTTTCTTTCTTTTCCTCCATTTTTTTTAAATTTAGCAACAACCTGTAGGAATATAATATTTCTAGGGTTTTGGTTGTTGTTGTTGTTGACAGAACAGGTCTTTCCTTTTAAGAAGTGAGGATCTTCCTCCAGCATTTAAATGCCCCAGCCCACAAGTGAAGCTTACCGTTTCCTCCCACACCTGATTGTTCAGAACCAGTCACATGGCCTCAGCCAACCCCAAAGGTAGCCTGGAAGTTTAGCCTTGAAACTTCACAACTTCACCTGCTCAGGAGGTGGAAACAGAAATACATGGTGAACAGCATCCGGGATTCTCACAGGGGAGGGTAGCATACAACTCTTCAAAATGGTCTGTGGAAACTTTTCCCCATGAGGCGTTTGAAACAGAGCTATCTTGGGGAGCACCAAATTCTAATTGGGAAAACAGCAGAATATAGTAGAAATAAATCCACTAGAGATAATTTTTCTTCACTTTGTTGTGGAGTTTTTCTTTGGTTGTGATCACTCAGTTAGATTCAAAACCCTTACATTATCACCCAATGACCCATTCTTCTTCCGTCCTGTTGGCAAAGATTTTTGTGCAAGAGTTTATGAGTCATCTTACTGAAAGCAAAAGGTACTTGGGTTACAGCATTCTTTTTGAGTTACAGGCTATTTATTTGAAACAAGATAAATTCTTGTTTTGACTCTTGAATCCATGAGTTGAACTCATGGTCAAATCTATTTCCATGAAAGTACAAAAGAAGAAATCATGCATAAATATTACCCAACATCTAAGCAACAAAAATGGACTCTAAAATGTAACTGGAAAACATGAAAATGCAGAATGACCTTATATAGATTCTATATTCACCTATGTTCCCAGATTGCATGCAAAGTGTGAAGTTGAGGCTATGAACAGGAAGGATTGAGGTGTGAAAGCAGGATCGGCCCTCCATGTAACATTGCAACTGACTGGGGGTGAATGGCTCCTTGGGCTGCATGTGGTGATATAGAAGCACATCCATTGCAAACTATGAAGCATTTCCCAGGGTTTGCACATACTTGAACACAATACTGTGTACACTTTGGTGTCCTGAAGCTGTATACATCTTGCCATTCATTTGTGTTTACGGTGAGGTTTGGCTAGCAGAGGCCAGAGGGAGCTTTGCGCTCTGCAGGTAGGAGCCCTGATGATTCTGATCTGGTTATAAGGAGCCACTCAGGCTAAGTGGGGCTTGTTAGATGGCTTGCCCAGAAGGGCTTGGTATTGCTTACAAAATGGATCATCAACAAATCCTTTAAAGATGGTTATAGTATTGGCTTACACCCCAGCATGTTCTAAAGATGACTTGAGGACAATTTCTTGAGCATCTGCAAATTCCAAGAATGGGAAATTTTAAAAACAAGAAAGCAAAGAGTCGGGAATTTTTTTTTCACGTGTTCCCTAATTCAGAGTGAAAGATACTCCTTACTTTTCCAAACCTTACAAAAGGCAACGGTAAAGATCATTTCAAGGAAAAATTACTACTTAGCTTTTGGGACTGCAGAAAATCTTGCTGATTCTAAAAGCTCCAATATAATAAGACTTTAGCTTTAGTTGTTTGCTCTTTTGGTTGGCAGAATGCCATGTGAAGAATAGGTACCAACCTGAGAAAAGCATGGTGGAGAGGAAGCCCCGCACAGGAGAGAGGAGCCTCCACATCCAGAACTGCTTCTGCCCCTGATCAGTTATGTGGCTTCCGACAAAGGGTGTCCCTTGTCTGGACCACAGTGTCCTCTTTCATTGAACACACAAACATAGGGCGCAGAGCCTGTGACAACAGCTCATTTGTTTAGTGCGTCTCTGGAAATCTGTCCTTCCACCACGATAATGATTTCATTTGCTGCTCACCATGGCCCAGAGGGTAATTTGGATGTGCTTGTTGTCACCATCTCCATGTGACAGTTGTATAGACACTCATATGCAGCTACAGGGGGCTGAGGATATGAGCAGACCCATAGTTTCTGACTTCACCTCTTGACGTGATTATTTATATCAAATAGCCCTATGTAGAAGGCTCTAGAAGAATCTTTAAAATATTCATTAAGGACATTTAGCCACTCTGCACCACCAATCCTCAGGAACTGTGGAAAGGGGAATCATCAGACAGGATGGGTGAAGTTCCCAGCTTCCTGAAATTTCATCTCCCCATTTCCTGTGGAGCCCCCCCCTCCCCTGCCTAAGGTTTCACACATTAGTTCTGACAGCTCTGGTCTCCTCAGGTGCTTATAGTGACACCAGGCCTTGTGAGAGGTGTCTCCTGTCCTAGGTTGGGTGAGTCATTTTTCTTTCTGAAACAGCCTAATCTGAAAGCAATCTCCTTTGCTACTTGACTCGGTGTGAACGATAACATCAGGGATCCTTTTAAACCCAAGAAGAGAAATATGTTTCATTGGCGCCATCATTCCAAACGGGCAACCTCAGATATTTCAGTGGAGATGCCTTAGAGACCTAAAAGAAGATCCACGCTCAGAGGCATCGTCCTTTAAGAGTGTTGGGCATATGAGTTTCTTGGAGGAGATTTACTTTTGGTGTCATTGGTCATGACGGGTAGCTACCTTTTTTTCTAAGTTGCGAGTTTTATGGTTCAAATCTCATAGGTGCTACAAGATATTTTTTAAAAATGTTTTTATGAGTGTATTATAGCTATTCATAATGTTGGGGTTCCTTTGGACCTAGTCACATGTGCATGGAATGTCATTTGTTCCCAGTACCTCCTTCCTTCCTCCCTCTCCTTTTTCCCTATATCCGGTTCCCCCTCTTCTACTCCACTGGCCTTTTTCCCATCTATTTATTGTTTTTAATAATTGATACTTTATAGGTTGGTATGAATGAAGGTAGATTTTTTTTAAAAAAATACGTGAATATCTTTCACATTTTTGCTTAAATATCCCTTCATCAAAGAATGCTCTCACCGACCCCATCCTGTGGATATTTGTAGAGATTTAACTCGTTGTTTGAATAAGCTCTAAGACCAGGAAGGGCCTGTCTTGCCCACTCCTCCAGCACCTTCCTGATTCCAATGCCTTACTGCAAAAACTTTGTTTCACAGGAGCAGATAATCTGCAGATCCACGTCACCCCAACCCCGGAGTCATTTCCTCATGGGAAGTTGTTACCAATTTCACCAACATGGCCTTTCTCGGAAGTCAAGTCTTCTTTGGCAGTGGACAGAATCAAGAATGTGCTGGAACAGTCCCCTGATAACACGAGCTTGCTACAGTTAGCCCGGACACCTCCGCCCAGAGCACACCGCAGGGCCAGGGCTCATGTGGACTTCTCTCCTTCCCTTTACCAAGGAAGCGGACAGAGCGCCTCCCTGGAGCCCTCTAAAGATTCCAGCGAGTCCCTGGTCCAACCGAGGCCTCCAGGGGGAAGAGAAGCAGCGGACGTGTCAGGTTTGCCTCACGCCCGCATGCTTCCCCCGTGGTCCACAGTCCCATCGGTGACCTTGAGTGCCGTCCCCCCATCTCAGCCGCGGGTAGGGACTCCTTCCCTTTCGGAGCATCCCCTGAGATCAGATATGCTCCCACTTCCTCCTCCACCTTCATCCTCTCCATTGACCTCCAACTCACCTCATTCCATCACCTCCTCTAAACCAGAAGAGCGTCCCACCCATGTGCCTTTGTTCCCCCAAATAGCTCCACCCGACTCCTCCTCAGCTCAGACTGTAGCTAATGCCCTAATCCCAGCTTTTGACAAAATGAACCACATTCCATCCCCAAATGCCCAGGGTTCCATAGGTGTCCCTCATCTAAGTTTTTCTGGATCCTCAACAAAGCAGTACTCTGAACTGTCCCCAACAGAGGGTCCCCAATCTACAGGCTCACCCACACCTGGGGGTTTAAGCTCCATGGCAGAATTGGCCCGTCTGCCTCCCCCGACCCTAGCACCTGGAGGTCTTCCTCCACTTCCAGGTGGGACCCCCTCATGGTCCATGATGGAAGTGGCTTCGAGTCCTGCATCCACCCACCCAATCCACACTGCAGGGGCTAAAAGAGCGCACAATGGGGTGTCTTTGCCAACTTTTAAGAGCACGGCAGCAGCGACCCAGGCGGCTGAGCTTTCATTGTTTCGGACTACAGAATCAGTGACCATAGAAATGACCAGCAGAAAGCTAGCCCCTGCTACTACTGCAAGTGACCCTGCTAACCCACCACATTTGTCAGCAGATCCAGAGAATTCCAGAAGGCCTGCCCTTTCAACCGAACACACATCTTTGGTGCCTGCTCTGCTGCCTTTCACTCCTCTGGGTCAAGGGCAAGCCGTCCTTTCTGGGACAGTTCCCGCATCGCCATCAAATGGGAAAGGCAACCTTCCCTCCATGATCACTGTCCTTCAGCCTGCAGAAGAGCGTATCTTGCCATCCCTTGTACCTGAAATGCCCACACCTCAAGAAGAAGGCAATGACGGGGCCCCTCCTGCAGCCACAGACTTGTTCCTCTCAAGGAACCTTCCTGATCTTCTTTCCACAACTTGGACATTTCCCCTGCAGAAAGAGGTCAGCGTGACAGCCTTTTTAGGGAAAAATAAAAAGGCAAATGTGACTATTCCAAGTAAAGAAGTTTTGAGTCCTCACACTGTAAATGGATTCCGCTCTGACTTTAGCGCTGATCCAATGTCATCTCCCGTCATTACAACATCAGGAACAAACCTCCTTCCTTCAGGATCACCTCCAGCCTCCAGGCCCACCATTCAGACCACCCACCTGGTTTTCCCATCTCCTGGCTTCGCCAGCACCAAGCTGGAGACTGACACAGCTGCTGAGGGCCATTCTGAATTGCCCGTTTCTGCTTCCAAGCAGGTGACAGCATCTCCCTCCTCCACTGATGCTGATGATTTCTCAACAATGGGAGACACGAAAAAGCCAACAACCACAGATGTTTTCTGGAGTTCTCTTTCAGCAAAAACAGGAACCCTTTCCAGAGATTCCACAATATCTGGCTTGCAGCAGCAAACAAGTGATGGTTCAAATGGTCACACAATTAACTCCGCCAGTTGGGAAGTTCGTTCAGCTGCCACTTCTCTTCCCCAGGGTTTAACTTCAGCTGCCAAAGCAGTAAAATCTCAGAATATCAAAGATACTGCTGGGCATTCAGTGGCTGCAGAAGGCTTTAACATTCAAGATCTGGTCCTTAGGACAAGCACCAACCAGCCTGTGCAGCAGTCGGATGTCACCTTGGCCGCAAATCATACAGACCTCTGGCCCACAAGCCATAACAACCATCCCAGAGACTTCCAAACAGCCAAAGTTGAATATTACCCATCCACAAGTCAACGTTCTGCCCAGTCAAGCCATCCTTTTTGGCTGACCTGGCCACGTCTATCTTCTACAACAAGCTTGCAGGACATGCTTTCCGATGGAACGGATACAGGGTCCCACATTTCCAGTGACGTCTACCCATCACCCAGAATAAATGCTTCCACGTCATTCCGGAGCAATCTTGGCTATCAGTCAGCTGCTGAATCTCCTCCTCTATCAACCAGTGCCTTCCCCAGGACCCCCTCCAAAGTGCTGCAAGCTTCCCAGCACCCCAAGAAATGGACAGGTGCAACCACTAATGCAGGTAGTTTGTTTCTTGGTACCCAAAAAACAGGTATGACTGCTTTCGGGGACCAAAGCATCTTCAAGCTCAACACCCAGCTTTGCTCTGAAGGCACATACCTCCCCTTCAGAAGTGAGAGTTAGCAGCCCAAGTAGACACGTAGTTGATCCTCTACCCACTTCATTTTTTTTTTAAGTATTCAGAATTTATGCCCTTTTTACCAACCATGGCTTGGCTGTAAGCGGCATTCTCATTATGGTTAATTACCTTAATGAGCCTAAGTTGTTTTGCTTGCCAGCCCAGAGAGCTGACACTCCTCACCCCAGCTAACCCATAGGTTCCCTCCATTCATCATCAGAACAAGTGTCGTATGTATTCCCAGCCAGTGACAAGCTTTGCCTCTTCTCTCTTTACAGTGGACTCCTCGGTGTCATCCAAGGTAGAGCCAACAGCAGAAGCAGCAGCGGCAGCGGCCACATTGTTTCTGAAGAAGTCGAGTCCACAGGCGCTGTCTGCAGCCCTGGTTGCCAAGGGCACCGGCAGCAGCGGCTTAACCAAGAGCAGTTCCACCACTGCTCTAGCTAAAAATGTCACCAACAAGGCAGCATCTGGCCCAAAGGCAACAGCAGGGGCGATCTATACAGCCCTCCCGTTCACACCAACCTACATGTTTGCCAGAACAGCACACACCATGAGCACACACACAGCCATGCAGGGGGACACGGGTGCTGCCTCGGGCCTGTTGTCCACAACACACCTCCCCAGGAAGCCACAAGCCATGCACACAGGCCTCCCAAACCCCACCAAGCCAGAGACGCCGAGGGCATCCACCCCTCGCCCCCTGACGGTCACCGCAGCGTTGACCTCCATTACAGCATTAGTGAAGGCCACCCGCTTGCCCCCTTTGCAAGCAGAAAACACGGATGCTTCTCTCCCTGCTTCGTCCACTGCGGTGGTCACAACTGGCAAAATGGCGTCCAACCTGGAATGTCAGATGTCTGATAAACTCCTGGTGAAGACAGGTGAGAGGCCACTGTCCTTCCAGTTGGACTTGAAAGCCACAGCCTGGCCTCAGAGAGATAGCAGGATTGTTTCTCTTTGAGATCGATGTTTCTCATCTGGGGTGACCTTGTCTTCCTTCCCTCAGGAGACATTTGGCCACGTCTGGAGACATTTTTAGTTATCGCACTTGGTGGGAGGGGCTGCTACTGAGCTGTAGTGGGATAGGGACCTGGGATATTGCTAAATACCCCACAACGCACTGGACAGCCCCAGACAAAAAAAGAATAATCCAACCCAGAATATCAGTATGCTGAGGTTGAGAAACCTTGATCTTCAACAAGTGTCAAAGGAGGGGAGGAACATGAGGTGACATGGATTCTAGTTCTAGGATCAGTCCTGACATGAGAGGCCCCTGGGAAACCACAGGTCTAAGAATGCCAACTTGCATCGTGTTTTGCCTGCAGAGTGCATCAGGGATGTCTCGCATGAATAAATGATGTGATTTGTTTAATACAAAGTCTTGGAAAGGGCTGCAGAATTCAGAAAAGCTTTTTGTCATGTTTTCTTAATCAGCAGATACAAAAAGCACAGCTACGGTTTACAAGGTGGGAGCCCCGGATTTATTTTTCATGTTTAAGGGGGAGAGTTTCTTGAAAAAGCTCTGCAGGCAGCCCTAGAACCGTGGGCAAAGCGGGATGCTATCTTTTTAGCCCCAGTTCCCGGTGGTAGCAGAGCAGCCCTCAAGTGCACAGGGTGCTTTTAATAGTGCGGTAGTGTCTGCTATAAAAAGCATTAGACAAATTATTTGAGAGAGCATGCCAATGCTGAATGCTCGCATCCCGCCTTCCTCCTCGCCCCGCAAAGAATTAAATGAAATTATATCTTGAGACATATCCTTTTCTAAAATGGGAAATCGTGAAACTAGGCATAGCAGAAAGTACAGTATCTCTTTCTGCTTCTTAATAAATGATCCCATCTGGTTTTCCGCTCCCCCTCCCCACTCTCTCCAGACCCACGCCTTCTCCTCTGAGGGGCAGCCTCCCACCCCCATGCATCCTCTCCTCTCTCTTCTTTCTCTCCCCACATCCCCAGCCATGTCTAACCAGCCACCAGCTGCTTTCAGTTATCCCTCCTGAAAAACCCCGTCTCTCATCCTGGTTCACACCACCACTTCCTGGGTTCACGCTGTCGTCCTTATTCACTGAAATTTCTGCAACACTAACCACATTCCTCTCTCTGCCTGCAGAACCCCACCCTACAATCTGCTTTGGAGTCTGCAGTCAAGGGAACCTTCTGAAATGCATTCCTTTGCTGAGAACTCCTCATTTCCTATTGCCCTAAATTTGCACACTGCAGTATTTCACTTCTGTCCCCTGCACTTTACACTTGGCGTTCCCTCTGCTGGTACTAGGTGGGGGCAGTCCCTCCCCTCCCCTAGCTCACTCCTATTATCCTTTGAGACTCAGCCAAAGCATCAGTTCCCATGGAAACCTTCCCTGATCCCAGCCCCTTGTTCAACTCAGCACTGGATGCTCCTCTCAGAAGCTCTAACAGCATCCTGGGCTTCCCTTCCAATAGCACTTGTCACATTCAATCACAGATGCCTCTTCCCCATCCTGTATCTCCATCCCTGTCTCTGTCCTTCCTGTTTCAGGGTTGTCTGGGGCTGCAGCATCCAGAGCAGCCCCCCCGCCCAGAGAGCCTGGCTTTCAAGGTCAGAGGCAACACGTGTCAGAAATGAAGTGCCACCAGTGTAATCTTTGTCTGTCAGGGCCACACAAATGGCTAGGACCTTCTTTCCTTCAAACTTTAGCAGGACCAACAAAGCCTCTGTCCCAACCAATCCCCTCATTGGTGGGCCTTTGCTTCTCAACTTTGTTCAGAATTTGTAGGAGATGGTGGCCAGAGGAGGGGAGGGCATGTTCATTATGAGGTTTGGACCTTACTCTGATTACCATGCTTGTTTCCCCCCACAGTTCTCTTTATAACCCAAAGGAGAGGACAGAGCATTGAGTCCTTGAAGATCAATGTAGCCAGAGGGCTCACGCAGGCATTGCGGAAGGCTTTCCACCAGAACGACATCTCTGCTCATGTAAGCTCCTCACTTTGCACCCAGCTAACCCGTCTCCACCTCCCCCAGGGGTCCAGGTGTTGTTTAGATTGTCGGGGATGTGGCTCAAGTGGTAGCGCGCTCGCCTGGCATGCGTGCGGCCCGGGTTCGATCCTCAGCACCACATACAAAGATGTTGTGTCGTGTCAGCCGAGAAATAAAAAAAAAAATAAAATATTAAAAAAAAAATAGATTGTCTTTATCCTCCCCCCACACCCACATTTTCCAGAAGTGGAATCTTTCTTCATTTTGGTAAATAGCTGTGGCTGGAGATGGGAAACTGAGACTAATTGCCTATGTTGATTTTTTTTAAAAAGCCTGGATATATTGTTTTAAACGATTCCATTTTCCCATTGTGTAGGGAGAGCATTTAATATTGTCTGTATAATTTTCTAGAAACCATCCATTGCTTTTTCTTTTATCTTTCACACCATTTTAAATAGTGATTTATTTCTGGACATTTAAGAATCATTCTGACTTGTAAATTGAGTCCAACTTTGCTAAAATTGCCAGCAGCACACAGGGAAGTAAACATTTCCCCCACCTCTGAACACTTCAATGCCAAGTACTGTTTAACAACTGCTGGCTGATTTGGGTGGCATGTCCAAGTGATGGAAGCTTTGTTTTACACTCTTTTGGTTTGACTCCAAGTGTTAGAGCAGTAAATGTGATTGGCAGTCAGTGGACTCCCTTTTATACCACTTAGAAATATTGTTCCGGCTTCTTCCTTTGATGTTCTGATCTACAGCTGTGTTCAGCTCAGTGGTCCCCTCTCCGCCCACCACACCAAGGACTAGCAATGGGTTTGGCACATAGTTTATGGGTCCTTGTCAGTCTGTCTTCTACAATTCTAAAGGAGAGAGAGAGAGAGAGAGAGAGAGAGAGAGAGAGAGAGAGAGAGAGAGAGAGAGAGAGAGACAGGAAAGAGAGAAAGAAAGATGGACAGGAAGAGAAGGAGGGAGGGAGGGAGGGAAGGGAAAAAAGGAAAGAAACAATAGAAACATACTCCATGGGATGGTTGTAACATACTCCATGGGATGGTTGTGTGGTTTCTACTCCAGAAATTTTACTTGACCATTGAAATGTGAATGTTCCCATTTAGTCGCCTGATTAAGTTTTCAATAAACTTCAGCTGTTCTCCAACTACCCACACAGCTTTCGTATTTTCTGCACCTCATCTCAGACCCAAATTGGTTCACTTTAAATTTTTTCTTTCAGTTCTTTAAATATATTTTTTGTTAGTTCTAATTGGTTATACATGATAGTAAAATGCATTTTGACACATCATATATAAATGGAGTATAACTTCTCATTCTTCTGTTTGTACATGATGTAGAGTTACAGTAAAGAACCACACAGGGTAATAATAATAATTCATCCTACTATCATAATAATAATAATTTATTCTACTATCATTCTTATCCCCATGCCCTCTCCCCTCCCTTGACTATCCCCTGTCTCGTCCAAAATACCTCTATTCTCTCTCCCTCCTTGTGAATTAGCATCCTCATATGAGAGAAAACATTTGGCCTTTGGTTCTTTGGAATGGGCTTATTTTGCTTAGCATGATATTCTCCAGTTCCATCCATTTACCAGCAAATGCCATAATTTCATTCTTCTTTAAGGCTAAGTTCACTTCAAATTTTTTTAAACTATTTTTAGTTGTAAATGAACACAATACCTTTTTGGTTTATGTATTTATTTTTACATGGTGCTGAGGATTGAACCCAGTGCTTCACATGTGCTAGGCAAGTGCAAGCTGAGCTACAACCCCATCCCTCACTTTATTTTTTTTAAAGGGGGGGGGGGAGAGAGAGAGAGAGAGAGAGAGAGAGAGAGAGAGAGAGAGAATTTTTTAATATTTATTTTGTAGTTATTGGTGTCTCACTTTAAACATTTTAAATGCATTTCTTTTGAAAGGATATTTGCTATTACCACCATACGTGGAAATAAGGATCATTTGCCACAAATAAAGATTGTGGTAAAAGTGAGACTCATGGGACCCAAACAGCTTGTTAAATCCAAGGCTGTTCTTCATGTCTCTTTGTCTGTTAAAGAGAAGAACTAGCAAGGGTCAGGGAGGTGTTGAAAGCAAATCGTTCCTGACCTGGCTTTGGCTTGTTCTTTGAGCTAACTAGAAGGGTTGAAAGGGGAGCGGTTCTCTCATTGGGTGAGTTGACTGTCATTTCAGCTGTTTATGGTCTGCCATGAAGCTTCTCTTGTTTCACCTACAATCATCTTTTTTTGTTTAATTTATTTATTTTAATTAGGTATATATGACAACAGAATGCATTTTGATTCATTGTACACAACTGCAGCACAACCTTTCATTTCAGTGGTGTACACGTTGTAGCATCACACCATATGTGCAGTCATACATGTACCTAGGGTAATGATGTCCATCTCATTCTATCATTTTTTACACCATCTTTAGTAAAGAACCAATGATAATGCACCTTGGAGGGACCAAACCACACCCATCCTGTTGCAAAATCCATTACCTTGATTTCTTTGGAAAACACACATGACACTTTTTATTTTTATCTTTTTCTTTTTGTGGTGCTGGAGCTTGAACCCTGGACCTCATGCATGCCCCGCAAGCTCTCTACCACTGAGCCATGTCCCCCACTAGTCCCACATGACTCTTCTGGTGGATATGCAAGAATGAGGGGGAAAGCAGGCCTTGAAAACACCCTGACATGAGACGTTCTGTTTTACAAGATGAAAAGAGTTCTGGAGATGGGGTGGTGCTGGGTACCCATTACATGTTTTTAATACCATTGAACTGTACAGCTAAAGACAGTTAATAAGGCAGATGGTATGAGATGTGTACTTTGCCACAGTAAAAAGAAATTGGGGACACTCTGCAAGTGCCCACTAAGGAAAGGTCCCATGAGCACACAGTGAGAAGGCAGCTGTCTGCAGAGTGGGAAGAAGAGTCCTCCCCAGAACCTTACCATGCTGGCCAACCCTGATCTCAGACTTCCAGCCCCCAGAATTATGAGATAATAAAATTCTTTTGTTTAAAAAAAAAACACCAATCAACAAACAAACAAACAAACAAAAAACCCATTGGGGATATAGTTCAGCAATAGAGTACTTGCACAAGGCCTTGGGTTCCATCACCAGCACCACCAAATAAATAAATAGGAAAAGAGTAGGTTATGAAGCAATATCTATAGTGCATGCATATATGTATATACATGCATATATTTATATGTGTGAAATATACATGTATTACTAGGGGGACTGAAAGGAAATAAACCTAGAATTTGTTGTATAATTATATTACAGTGATGGTGGATACATTAGAGGCAATTGTTATTCTGTCTTCCAGAAATGCTGATTCTATAACAAGCATTATATTTATATATATAAAGAACAAAAACAAACATTCAGAATTCTTAATATACAACATCAAAAAAGGAAAAAAAATAAGAATAAATTCTGAAGCCTCCATATGTTCCTGTTGAGATAGAAAGAGCTCAGGTCATTGGGTGTCCCTTGACTCAGCTGTGAGACAAACTCTCTGTGACTTGTCCGTGCCCTGGCCTTGAACTAGTGTCCCAGCCAAAGATAGAGCCAAGTCTAAACAAGTCTTCTCTCTGCTTCTAGATTAAGGAATTTACTTTGTTTACTTCTTGACCCATCTCCTAAAGATGCCCCACTTAATTTATCATTTCTGCCTTTTTATTCTAACAAATGATGAGAAACATAATAAAACTGTTTTCTCCAGCATCCCATTTGCTGGAAATTTTGTCTGTCCACTATCTCTTCTCTTCCTTTCAGGTAATAATGAGTGCTCACAGGATTATACTGAGGCACTTCAAAATAGACAAAAGCAGATTTAATTCAGTCCCATGTAGATTTGATGTAAATTTTATTTTGTTGCATTGTCATACTTCTGCTTTAATCCATGCATGATGTACAAGAGGGTCAGAATGTTTGTGGAAGGAGAAAATCCTATTCCCCTGTCTTGCTAAGTAACAGTTGTGGTTCTCAGAAGCACTAAGAACTTAAAGTACTGCGGAAATAAACAGTGAGTTCTGGGGGTCCATTTGTTTTGTAGGTGGACATTCTGGAACATTCTCACAACATCACAGTTGGTTATTATGCTACCAAAGGAAGGTTGGTATACTTGCCTGCTGTTGTGATAGAAATGCTGGGTGTTTATGGAGTCAGCAACGTCACTGCAGATCTGAAGCAACATACCCCAAACTTACAGTCTGTGGCCGTCCTTGCCTCCTCATGGAAGCCCCAGCCTGCAGGCTACTTCCAGCTGAAAACAGGCAAGTAACTCAGAAGGAAAGGATTCCTATGCAGTCTAAGATCAGGGGTGGTACTGAGTGGATACCTGTCTAAAAACTCCATTGCCGCCTGCTTTGCCATCTTTTAAAGTCCCTGTGTACCTTCTTTAAAGTGTCCTGCTAATCAAATGTCCAAGTGCCCTGCTCATCAGCCTAAACTTTTCTAACCTGAGTTTATTAGAAATGCCCCATATTAGGAGCTTTTCTTCCCAACTTATAATTAGTACATATGAGCACTGAGTACCATATTGCTTTTTTTTTCCTGCATTACCAGTGGACACCAATAAAAGTTGAGTCTCCATAAAATCTGTAGTTTGGAGCTGGAGATCCCAAATATCACTGAATCAGAATCTCTGAGCTTAGACCTTGGATTCTTTCTTTCTTTCAAGCTCCCTGGTGATTTCTGATTTGCAACGTTTGTAAACCACAAGAGTGGAGAAACCATTGAAATGGAAACAATCAACTTAGTAATGGAGGTCGATTGATTTTTTTTTTCTGTCCCTTCAAAGAAATAGAAGTCATGATCTCTCTTAGGTTATTATTTGTTGGTCTTTGAGCAGATGTGTGTATATTCCATCCAAATAAAATCACAACGTCTTTTGCATTGGAGGGACTCTCAGGTTATAGATCATGCTTTGAATTTGTTCTTTGTTACAAGTCACTTTCAAAATCAAACCTTGTCTGGTCTGTTTATTTGCCTAATTTCTCTAACCTGAAATCATACTGTTTTAGATGATGGTTGCTACTAGGAGCTATTAGGTATCCACTCAGAGGAACTGAGATGTAAAGCTTTGGTGAGTGCTGATTTCTCATTCTCATTCTAGTGCTACAGTTTGTGAGCCAGTCAGATAACATACATTCCTGCAAGTTTGCTCAGACCATGGAGCAGCGGCTGCAGAAGGCATTCCAGGATGCTGAGAGGAAGGTCCTGAATACCAAAAGCAACCTGATGGTTCAGGTAGGGAGGAGGGGTTTTAGGCTGTGTAGTTGACAATCAAAATACAAATGTTGGTAAGAAATGACTTGGGTCCCCCATTTCAAATCAGTCTTGTGTAAGTGTAACTTGCTACTTGGACGGATGATGTAGACAGTCATGGCATGGGTGAGGCTGTCTGGGGTCTGGCCATGACAGGAGGGATGCTGTGTCACTGAGTACCTGCTGTGCTTTAGGGGGTTTTATATTAATTTTCTCATGTGATGCTTCCTTGAGTCTTTCTAATACACTTACTATTTTAAAAAAATCAAACTAGAATCTACTATGTAAAATGTATCAAATGTCTCAAGTGAAATGAATCCATTTCAAATAGCTAACTCATCAGAGATTTGCCTATTCTCTGATTTACATTGGATTGTACTCCTGATAGCCACGTGAACCATCATCTCTGTCTCTCTCTCTCTCTCTCTCTCTCTCTCTCTCTCACACACACACACACACACATTTTGTATTGAGGGCTTACAATATGTTGGGAACCATGGTGGGTTTTACAAATATTTTGCTACAAAATACCCAATACATCTTTCTGAGCTATCCTTACCCTCATTTTATATGACAGGGAACTAAGAGAGAGGTTATGAACCTTCCAGAAGGGTCATATAGTTGGAAAAGAATGGAACAAAAACTTGAGCCAAAAGATCATCCTCTTATCTACTAAGCTGTACCAGCGTCTCTGCAATATGGCAATGTGGGCCTCCACAAAAGTTTTTGCAAACACATGAATTCTTTCCCAGGGAAATCCCCCTCCTGGTACACCATGTATTTCAGCTTCCTGGATAACAGTGCACAAACCACTGACATCCTTTCTCAGACCCAGTTCCTTCAATTACATAGATATCATCCCACTAAGGACAGATGCTTCTTAATGATATTCATCCACCCCCCAAATTTCTCTAATTAACTCTACTGTTCAATGTCTCTGTTTTGACTACTGACTAAAGCCTTTGCAATTAGACCCAGAGCTTTTGAAATTGACATTTAGCATAAGTGAATTATCAGCAAAACCAATATGATGTAGAAAGCATACAATTTAATTTGAGTGAGCAGCTTTCTTTTTCTAGTTTCATCCAAAGTGTATAGGGAAGTGTCTCATTATGATTTAGTTCATATTAGACTAGGATCTAAAAATATGTCAGAGACTTAAGATTTATGTAAGAAGTGTGACTCAGCTGTCTTGTGGGGATGCTTTTTCTTTCTGATTGGATTTGTGATTCTCACAGGTGCATGAGCCTAGTTAGATCTTGGCAGCAGAGCATACTTTAATTGTATTCAGGAAGCACAGACTTATCGAGTGCTTGCTATTTATCAATCACTGGGAGGGACACCAAGACAAATAAGCTGCCCTTGGCCTTAAGAAGCCTCTCTTGTTTTGTTAGGTGCTAATTATGCACCATTAGATGAAATTTTGTCAACCAACTAACAAAGCTTCCTTGGAAAAGACTACAACAGTGATTTGAACATTGCATCTAATAGATTTTAGATGCTCTTGAACATTTTGAAAGCTGTTGAAATTAATGGATAATCAAATCAACCATTTTATTAACTATTTTGCTTTTTGCCTTGGATGAGAGGTAACCCAGAACCAAATCTGTTGTACAACTTCAGCAACCCTTTTGTCCCTATGTCACACATAGATAACTACATGCTAACCACATCTCTGTCTTTTTATCTGTTTTTCTAGGATGCGCTTTTGTAATGAATAAATTTCCATTTTATTGTATTAAATAAAATGTGCAAGGTACCTTGAATCTTTTATGGAATATGATCATGTAAATATTTAATTAAGAGTCACTGAAAAGATGACTTTTAAATTTTGTCTAGCTTTGGTATTATGGGCTAGATTGCAGTTGATTCAATTACAACTGCTTTGTTTGTGACAGAATCCAAGCTTATAAGGCAAAAAAAAAAAAAAAAAAAGAGGAAGCAATTAGCTCACACAGCTGAAAAGTTCACAGCTTAATTACTTTAGGCACAACTAAATCCAGGTGCTGCAATGATTTCTTCATGATGTTCTCTCTTCATCTCTTGGCTTGTTTGTTCTCTGGTTCTGTCTGGTGGCCTCTGGCGCCTCATCCTTACTGCTTATAGTCTTGTGGTGTCAAAGTACCATTTTTGGTGTCATTTCAGTTAAAACCCTGGGATTGGTTCTCCTTGGATTCACTGTGTTCATTTCTGAATCCATGACTGTGGCCAAGGAGATGAAATGTCCCAATCAACTAGGCCTGGCTCAGATGCCCGCTCCTGGAGCCTGGGTGGGGCAGCCCCATCCAAAGCACATGGACAGAGAGGACAGGAGAGGTGGTTCCCAAAGGGTATTGTGGTGCTGTCCTAGAAGAAGGGAGAATGGGTGCTGGGCACCCAGAACAACAGCTCTCAGCTCCATCAGCCTGAAGGACTAATTAGCTAAATGAATTGTTGTGTGAGTGAGTGAGAAGTCAGAGACCAGGTCAGGAGATACAGGCACCTGAGAGTAAAGATGTGATAGGAAAGTGTCCCCTGCAAGAGCTGCTTCTATTGAAGGACAGGCATGACTCTCAGGGACTAGTGTTGTGGCTTTGGTCTCAGACCTATCTCTTATTTTTGGAGCTTGTGTAGCTACCAAGAATGGTCACAGTTTTCCTGGTTATAAAAAGTGAGTTTATTAAAGAAGATCAAATAAATGGAAAGGTATCCTATGTTCATGGATTGGGAAACTAAAAATTGATGTCAGTATTACCCAGGGGGATCTATAGATTTAATGTAATCCCTATCAAAATCCCAGTGATCTTTTATTTGCAGAAATAAAGAAACCCATCCTAAAATTCAAGTGGAATTTCGAGAGACCTTGAATAGCCAAAGGAATCTTCAAAGAGGACAAAGTTTGGAGGTTTCACACCTTCTGATTTCAAAACAGAAATCAAAAAGCTATGCTACTCCAGCATAGAGACAAACAGAGACCAACGGAATAAAGCAGAGCTCAGAAATTAATCCTCTTGTATATGCTCAAATTATCATTGACAAGGGTGCCAGGACTATTCAGTGGGAGAAAGGTTAGTCTTTTCAACAAGTTGGGAAAACTGGATTTCCACATGCAAAGGTATGAAGCTGTATCCTAACCTATCATCTCCTCAAATTGACTCAAAGTGGATCAAAGACCTCATTAGAAAACCTAAAACTGTAGGACTCAGAGGAAAAACTTCATGACACTATATTTGGCAATTTGTTGGATATGTCATCAAAAGCACAGGCAACAAGAGAAACAATAAATAAATCAGACTTCATCAGTTAAAAACTTTGTCCATCAAAAGACACTACCTACAGAGTAAAAAGAGAACCCACAGAATAGGTAAAAATATTTGCAAATCATATATCTGATAAGTGGTTAATATCCAGGACACGTAAGCATGTAAAGAACTCCACCAACCCAACAATAAAAAACCCAAACAATTCAATTAGAAATGGAGAAAGAACTTGAATAGATATTTCTCCAAAAAAGATATATAGATAGCCAGTAAGCACTTAAGAAGATGGCCCACCTCATTAATCATTAAAGAAATGTAAAGCAAAACCATGAGCTTCTCTTCACATTGATTAGGATGATCATTCTAAAAAACAAGAAAATATTACATGTTGGTGAGGATGGGGAGAAATTGGACCCCTTGTGCATTGCTAGTGAAAATATACATAGGGTACAGCCACTGTGGAAAACCAAATGGTGATTCCTTTAAAAATTAGACATAGTATTGTATGACCCAGCAAGCCCATTGCTACATATATGTATCAAAAAGAATTGACATCAGGGAGTCAAATAGTTGTTTGTACCCCTGTGTTCATAGAAGCATTGTTCACAACAGCCAAAAGGTAGAAGCAACACAGGTGTCCATCAAGAGCTGAATGGATAAATTCTTTACTTTTTGGTACCTTGGACAGAGGCCTGAATACTTGGGTCCATAAGCCACATTGTAGCAGAAATGTTGACTTGATTTTGGTACTAGGGACTGAACTCAGGGCCACTCAACCACTGAGCCACATCCCCAGCCCTATTTTATATTTTATTTAGAAACAGGGTCTCACTGAGTTGTTTAGTGCCTCGCTTTTTTTGCTGAGGCTGACTCTGAACTCATGATCCTCCTGCCTCAGCCTACTGTGCCTACCGCGTCTCCTCAATTTATCTTTAATTGTGGGAATATGGCTCTGGGTTAGAGAATTGAAAGAGAACTTCAAGTGTGGGAAAAACTGGGAGGTAAAATGGAGAAACTCATCTCAGTAGCCTTCTTCAGGGTCAAGTTTGAGAGGGATGTTGCCTTAGCACAAAGGTCTGAGAAAGTCCAGGTGTCAATCGGCCCGCTGGCAGTGGGGACAGGACAAACTCAGGTGAGGTGATCTGAGGCAAGTTTAGTAGATGGCATCCTTTTCTGGATGTGAGAACAAGGACTGCGCAGTACCCTAGGCTATACTGTTGGGCCCTGAGGGCACAAGGAGGGGCAGCAGTCACAGCGGATTGATGGGCACCCTGATCTCCCTTGCTGACCTCTCTGGCATATCTGCCCAAGCCCTCATTAGCTGAAGCTAGCAGGCACAGGAGCCCATGAGGTGGTCCACAAGGGTCTGCCCTGGGGACATGAGCAGGACAGACAGATGGGTAGCAAAATTGGATCTGGAGGGGGAGGGACTGCACAGAACCTAGCAAAAAAATGTCTCAGCGAGTCGAATGACTTCCCCTGCGTGTATTTTTCAAATCTCATCTGGGGATATTTTTGTCCATACATTGACCTAGAAAAGTTCATTTTCCAGCAACCAAAAAACTGAATTGGACAAAATATGAAAAGAATACCATGCCATCTCAGGATTTTAAAAATGTTCGATATTGAATTAGTAGATCACAAGGAGATGTAATTGCTCTCAATTCTGAATCAAGTCTGTTGTGCCATGATAAAGTTGGTGACCTGCTCTGTAACACCATACCTTCCTGGTCCTTTCAGACTTAAAACTCTACAAATTTGGCTCCAGCTTTCCCTGTCTGAGCAGTTGTGTCTTCCTTATATTTAACATTCTTATCGTCTGCTTTATATCTCCAGAATCATAAAAGTCAATTTCTCATAAATGAGACAAATTAGCCCCCAGGAAAGATAACCATACTGGTTAAGAGTCTGAAGTCAGACTTCCTGGGTTTGAATCTTGACTTTGTCACTTTTGAGCTGTGGGACCCCAGGAAAATCCCTTGACCATTCTGGGCCTCGGTTTCCTCATCTGTAAGGTTGTGGTGAGGATGAAAGGAACCGATGCGCCCTCAGCACAATGCCCGGCGTGCAGCCAGCAATCACTGTCGATGATGGTTGTTATTCTTGTCTCTTCTTGCTGTTTTCCCTCCTCCCTCTCATTCCTACCCTGACCTTCTGCTTAAACTCCCCCTCCACGGCCTCCTGGAAACAGACCCTCATCTTATCTGCACGTCTCCCTTCCCTTTCCTCCTGTGTCAATTCAGATTGTGAGCACGTCCAACGCCTCGCAGGCCATCACCTTGGTGTACGTCGTGGGCAATCAGAGCACATTCCTCAATGGCACAGTGGCCAGCAGTCTCCTGAGCCAGCTCTCGGCCGAGCTGGTGGGATTCTACCTCACCTACCCGCCGCTCACGATTGCTGAACGTGAGTACATCACGTCGCCTCCAGGGGCTCTGTTGCTTCCTAGAGCCTTTCTCCATTCCACAAACCTCTCATGTGCCGGGTCACTTGCTATCCTTACTGTCATAAAATAACCACCCAAACATGCAATAAGTGGAGTCTGAATTGACGAAAAGTATGTTGCACAAGTTTCTTGTTTCACTGAATTTTCACAACCATCCTACAAGGCCAGTGGAAAATTAGAAGAAGAAACTGAAGTTCCAAGAAGTCTCACAAGATACCTACTCTCCCATAGCTGGTGAGAGCTGTCACCTGGGTTTGAACCCTGGCAGTCTGCCTTCTGACTTTATCGTACTGCCTGCAAGGACAGCTGTCCTTGAGCAAACTAGGTTTCTAGGCATTTCTCCCACTTCTGCCATTAACAAATGTTCCCGAACTTCAGGCCCTGCCCTGGCTATAGATATCATAATGCAGCCCATTTGTAGTCAACGTTGTGACTTCACTTGATGAAATCCCCATAGTCTGTGGCCTCACCTCCCTTAATTCTTCAGTTACGTAATCCTCATTACCATGCAGCAGGCATCAACAACAATGCAGCCTACATTCTGTACCAGAACACTTACTCAGGAGTTAGAGGAAATAAAGGTTTGTATTCCTAAATTTAAATCACTCTTACGTTTCACAGGGTCAGTGGGCAAGTTTTTCGGTAAACACATAAATTGTTTCAGAAGTTCCTTCTACTGTTGTTTCTGAGGCTATAAATAAATGAGATAATGTGTAGGTGATGTACTTAGCACATAGTAGCCACTGAGATTAGTTTTGAATATTTAATATATATTTGGTGAGCTTCTGCAAGGAAAGATGCCTTTTATGGGAAAAGATGATGTAAAAGGTGACATTCTGTCACATGGAAGCATGTGCAAATTTGCTTTCTCTCATTCTTTTTATATTCTCATAAAACCACAGCTGAGATTTATTGAGCATGAACTACATACCAGACACTGTACTGATTCCTTTCCACCTGTTAACTCTGATAGTCATGATACTGGTAAAGTAGCAGGAGAACTTTTGTTACAAGCATTTGGCTACAATGTAAGTTCTTGGCATTGGAAAAAAAAATCCATTCAAGATATAACAGTTCCTGATGACTTTGTTGGTGGCTGGATGGTTTTTAAAGAGCAAACACCAGCTAACCCAGGTGGCAGCTGCGGCTCTTGATAATGAAGACTTTCCACTGGAGAGGGTTTGGATGGAAAACCTGAAAGAGCAGAAACTCAACAAGCCCTAAACACTTTTTATAGGAAAGTTCACCTTTAACAGAGACTTTTCATTTTCTGAACAGCAAGTCAGTTCTCTGTTTTATATTTACATGTAAAACCTATAAAAGTAATTCAATGTGTTTCTTGTTGGTTTTAGCACTGGAATATCCCAATCTTGATACATCAGAAACAACTAGAGACTACTGGGTGATTACAGGTAATCTCTCATTCTGTACTTCCCCTCTTCATGCTGTGGGGGTTGGTTTGGTTAACACTTTTTGCCAGTCAGTGAAAGGATTGGTCTTTTTTGGGTTCTGTCTTATATGTCAAGGAGTTATTTCTACAGGACCAGAAGTGTGTGGAAACAAGCCAAGGAAAGCCGGCACACTGATGGTGGTTATTGAACATTTTAAAACTGTTACTTTGGAAGCCCCCCCTCCAACCCCAGTGCTTCCTCTTTGCAAAAACTCCACCTATCAGAAGTTACCCTGTGGATGCCTAGGACACGTCCTTGTGGATGGCCCTGTGTGTATAGATGGTAGTTCTTTCTGCACTGCCTTGTAAAACCTAAAATAAAATCAGAGGAGGGCTGGATGCTCCTCCTGCCCAGTGGGAGTCCCACCCCACACCCGTCCTGGCACACTCTGACAGTGAGGGCGGGTAGAAGCACCAGGGTGTTTGGGTGGTGTGTCCTTTTTTTTTTTTTTTAACCTTGACATTTTGCAGCTGAACTTTATGAAACAGCCAAAATGTTCCATTTATGTTTTTCAAAAGCCAGACAGTGCCTTCTGAAAATGAGGGAAACAAGAATTGAGAGCAAAGGGAGAGAGCAGATGTTTGTAGGAGGTAGAGTGACCAGCCCAATCATCCAGGGGAGAAGTGTGGAGAGAAGAATCTGGGTGTGCCGCGGCTGCCACGGCAAAGCACCGCAGGCTGGGGGCTTAGACAGCAGGAGTTTGCCGTCTCACAGTTCTGCGGGCTCCAAGTCTGAGATCCATGTTGGCAGCGATGGTTTCTTTTGAGGCCTTGGTTTTCCCTCTGCCGGTGACCTAATTTCCTCTTCATATAAGGACACCAGACGTGTTGGGTTAGGGCCCACCCTCATGACCTCATTTTAACCTCATTACCTCTTTAAAGACTTTCTCTCCAGGTGCCATTGCATTCTGAGGTACCTGGGGTTTGGAATTCAACATGTGAATTTGGGGAACACAGTTCAGCCCATTTCAAGGAGGGGAGAATTTCCTACAAGGCTTGGAAGCCACGTCTGGGGAAGGAGGCTGGTCTCAAATGTCCCATGCATACTATTGTCCCACACTAGCTGCAGTTGGGCTGTGCCTAAAATACCAGCTAAGGGGCACCTGTCCCTGCTAGATGTGGCCTACTCAAGACCTCTTCTAAACTTCAGAAAATTCTCCCCACCACGCACACAGAGCCTTCAATATACAGATAATTTCACCTGGTAAAATAGAAGGCAAACTAAAAAAAAAAAACATGTTTTAAAAGAAAATTAAAAACCCACCTATCAGGGTTTATGCCCACGAGAGAGACAGTGCAACCCAGCGACACAGTTTTGGAACCAGGAGGTTATGTAACATTTGCAAAACTGTGTTTCCTCCTCAAGGACTGGTGCCTTTTCATTGACAGCTATTTCCCCCTTCTCTGAACTTGAAGGTTTGCCTTGGGTGATAATGCAGCCACTCTTGAACACGGCCTGTCCTTGACAGCCACCTGCATCACCCTTTCCTCCTCTCGCTGTGTTTGCTCTGCCTTGATTTGAGTGCCATAACATTAAGAGGAAGCCCCACCACCACCACCAGTGTCCTGCTTCCAGGGCTCTCCTGGGTCATCCCCCTGCCCACCCACTATGAGACGACCCTCTTTCCTTTTTGCTATTTTTGCAGTTGGTGATCAGAATAGAGCTGCCACCATCACTGTGTTTGGGGCTGGTTGGATCAGTTGGTTTGTGCTTGGGAGGGGCTGGAGCTTGGTTTCAGCCTGGCCTTCTGCCTTTCCTTCCACCCAGGACCACTTTCTGAATACCTGGGTGTCCACCTCCAATCTGCTCATCACCAACAGAAGGGGTAAGGAGACAGGGAGCTGAGAGATGAGAGAACTTTTTAGCCTTTCCTCCAGGGCATTATAGGTGCCGTGTCTTCCACTGATGCTAATAGCTGCAACTCCCCTTTCTGTGGTTTATATTTTAAAACCCTGACATGTTTTCCAACTAAACTTATATTGAATATGTCTTTGCACACTGTACACTTCTCTCCCAGAGGGTGAATCCCTACTTGATGGAAAGTCATTGGCTTAGGATGACCCTGCAGTTCCTTTACAGAGAACACAGGGGCTACTCTGCCCTCCAGGGACCCAAACTGGGTTTGTATATATGAGGCAAAATAGAAAAATCCAGCTCGATATTGCTGCCTAACAGAAGTAAGATCCCATCTCAGGCTGATTCATCTCTTTAATTCACTCCAGAAGCAAAATGAACAAGACCCAGAAAGGGATGGATCAGTTCTCCAATTCTGCTCTTAGTTACCCTGGTGTCCTTGAGCAAGTCACCCAGGCCCTCTGTGCTGCACACTCTCACCTTGAGGATGAGGGAGAGGTCTCAGCTGAGCATGAAGAATCTTTGTTCAACCACAAATAAAACAATTCAACTTGAGCACAGGAGGCTGAACTGGGCCTGGTTGTGTGAATCTTAGAGCCTGGTATGATTGTAAATAAAGGAGTAAGAGAACAGTGATGTGAAAGTCATGGAATCTTCTGGATGGAGTTTCTTTGAACATAGGGAGGGACCTGTCTGCCTGCCTTAGGCTGAGTCAGTGGTGGGGGCTGAGGTGGGTGGCCAGGGGTCTGGCAGAGGTGCTGAGGTGTCTGAGTTTCTGTGTCACCCTGAGAAAGGTGGGCGCACCTCCATTACCACTGCCCACAGGGTGGACGGAGAGGCCCAGAGGCCCCAGGCCTGCCACACTCCTCAGGGGAAGGGAGAGGAGCCATATAGTTCCAGTCTTCTCACTTTATTTCTTCCTGTAATAATGAGAAGGGGCCCATTGTGACAAAGGCAATAGCTACCATTTATTCACACGCAGGCAAGTGCTAAGGCACTGCGTTAGAAGAATCATCTGCTCTTCACAAAGATTCAATCCTAAGGTGTTCAGATGAGGAACTAAGGCCCAGAGAAACCAAGTAACATACCCAAGAACACTCAGGAAGGGGGAGCCAGGACTCAAACTCAAGCCTCTGCATGCAACTCCTCATCCCTCCCCAGCTGCTCCCCCAAGAAGAACCTGTTCTTTTTTAGGGGAGCGGGAATGCACCGTGTGGGAACCATCTAGGTGTTGACTCCTGTACCTCTGCGGGTGGCTCCCACAGCCTCCTGTGCTCCCTGGAGACATTTTCAATTTTTTAGTATAAAATACTTGTAACATAAAATAACTATTTTAACCTTTTAAGTGTATAATTCAGTGGCATAAGAAATATTCAGTATGTACAGACATCACAGTATCCATTTCTCGGACCTTTGTCATCACCTTGGGGTCTTCGACTATTGCCTTTATTTAATTTATTGCCTTTGAGTCTTGGCTGAAAGTTCCATAAATAATCCAAAAGGGGTCCCCTCTCTCACTCTCATCCACTGATCAAGGGAGGCCAACGTAGGAGTAAGACTCCAGCAGTTTTATCTGTGATTTTACTAGATGAACTATCTTTGAACCAGAAAGTTCCCATCCCCCAGGTAGGAAGCACCCAAGGAATCCTGAGAGTCCTTTTGGGGCCCTCAATCACACAGCGTAGCAGTTTTGCCTGTGCAAGAATTCAGCTGACAGATGAGCTGGAGTCTCCTCACAAGGGCCCTAAAAGAGAGCTGCTGTGCACCCTCCGGGAGGATTATTTGGCATTTATGGCTTCAAAGAAGTAATTTTGGAGACCTAGCTGCGGGTTTATTTCTCTCTTGATCCCTTGCAGCTTCATGCTCTACATCTTGTTATTGTGTGTGTTGTTGTGGTTGACTGTGTTGTCTGGCCCCGTGTAGGATGTGGTCCTTGGGGTGGCCCCTGGCAGCACCCTGCTGTCCTGGGTGCCATAATGACAACACCCTTTTTATATACAAGCTATTTCCGTACCTTGGTGGATGGGCGGTGTTAACCGTGCATGGCCACACTGTGGTCAAATGAACTCTGCTAAATGAAGCTCTTCTGTTACATTCCCAGCCCTTGTCAGTTTTGGTCTCTTTAAGAAAGTGATCGTATTTTTAGTACTTAGAAGTTTTGGTGTGACTGTTTGAAGGCTGCAATAGTTCATCCGAGGTGAAGTGTCCTTCCAAAGGGACATGGAGCAAAGACTAGACTGGGGGAGTGGCCTCAACAATCCTAGAATGGCTTAGTGTTTATTTTTTAATAACTTAATTAATTAATTAATTTATTTATTTTTATGTGATGCTGAGGATGGAACCCAGTGCCTCAAACGTGCTAGGCAAGTGCTCTACCGCTGAGCCACAACCCCAGCCCCAGCCCTAATGCTTATTAACACCCCCTCCATGTACTACCCATGACCTGGAACTCCCCTGTCAACATCTACATGTTGATTATAGATACTGGGCATTACCAAAACCTAGCCATGGACGAAGGAACCCACCTTAAAAAAAAAATCCTGTTTTTTTAAACCTCAGAGTCCACTAGGAATATGTTCACTGGAAATGTACACTTTTTTATTCCATTTTTAAAGAGAAAAACTTGGACCCAGAGATGGCCAGTGGCTTGTCAAGGGCCCCACAACTGGCAAGAGCCAGTATAGACAGTTTATTCTTTCCATTAAGCTGTCCTACTCTTTAGCTGGGAGAGGACCTGGGAGACTCTAGGTAGCTGTAGGGGCAGGTATCAACAAGACTCTGCAGAAGAGAGAGAGATGGGGATACTGAATGTGCGGTTTGCCCAGATGTCAGGGGCTGAGTTGCAGGATGGAGTTGAGATTCCTCAGCAAAGCTGTAGGGAGAGAAAACATCAAGGTAGCCCTGAGCCAGGGCTTCTGAGTAAGAACCAGCCCCCAACCCAAGTCGCTGACCTGCAGATCTGATGTGTTCCCATATGGGGGACTCTTAGCCACACATGTCATCTTAAATGAAGTCTGGGTTTGATAGAGCCCTGTAAGAGAGAGGTCACTGCTCCTGGAGGAAAGAGCCCAGGATTTGGAGTCAGGGTCTAAACCCCGGCTCTGTTAGTTACAAGCTGTGCAGACTTAGACAAGTCAATTAAACTTTTCAACATCTATAAGAGGTGGATTGTGATTCCCAGCTCCTGGGCTGCTGTGAGGGTGAAGTGAGGTAAGGATGAGGTAGAGCAGAGTGACCCTTAGGGCTGTCTAGGGCTGATGGTGGTTGTGGTCCCCAAGTCAGCAGGGCGTCTGTCCTCTGAGCACCCCCTCTGCCTTCTGCTTCCACAGTGCTGCAGGGCGTGGACAACTCGCTGGTGGGCCTCTACAACCAGAGTTTTGCCCGGGTTATGGAGCAACGCCTGGCCCAGCTCTTCATGATGTCCCAGCAACAAGGCCGGCGATTTAAACGGGCTACCACCCTGGGAAGCTATACTGTGCAGGTAGGTGTGGGAGAACTGTGAGGGACTGTGTTTCCTGGGCTGTACAGAGGACATCCACGCTGCCACCAGCTGAGCCGTTTACTCTGAGGTTTGGGGGAGTTGAGGCTCATAAACATCCTCCTACATTGTCGAATAGCTAGGTTATGAGGGAAGGAGATCTCAGAACAAAGTCTGCATACATGGAGATATTTCTGAAATGAAGTTTCATCGTCTATATTAGTCAATTAAAAAATAGAACCCACCAAACTTACAGTGAAGACTTGAGCACAGAGTGATTTAGGCAAGAGATGGAGCAGGCTCTCGGGTTGCTCTCACACCCTCTTACCATCAGTAAGTATGCCTGCCGGAATTTCAACAGCCCGCCGTGGAACTTCACTGCAGGGATGCACTTGGGATGCTGGAACCCGCCTGCCCAGGCCATGATGGCTGAAGTGCGTGGGAATTAGACAGTGGTGGGAGTACACGTACCCCAGCTCCCTCACCTCTTAGCGAGGGGAATTCTGAAATGTTTCTTTAAGAACATTTCCAGAGTTTTCCCACAGAAGTAAGCTTTAGTCACCCACTGTGTCACGGAATCTTTTCCCCATCCGTGTATCACCTCTTCACCCTCCTGTCAGTTTCCTGCACCTCTCTGTGGGGTCTGCTCAAGGCAGTAGCCATGCCCAAGGGCAATGTTTCTAAGCCTCCCTAGATACCCAGTTCCCACAGGAGTGGGAGTGTCTCTAGCATATTCTAACCCATCCACATATCTTGAATACTCCTGACTTCACCAATGAGAACCCATTTCTAACATCTGTTATGCTAATTAACTAAAATTATTATGCTGAGCATGATATCAAATTATAGAAGTGCCTCTATACACGTGGGCCTCCCTAATTGGAATCTAGCAGGCTGCCCCTGGCAGGTGACCTCCCGATTGATAATTGACCTCATCTAGCCCACTTGCCTAGTGTCACACAATGAGGAAAGTCTTGAAGGAAATTGCAGACACCGGCACAGTCTGTCTGCAGATCACATCCCCATGCAAGCATAAAAGTTAAGCAACCCATCTTCTCTCCCTGCGTGAGTCAGCATCATGCCCCTGACACCACGCCACGTTCCCTTATTCAGAGTTGGGAATCTGGCCCCTTGTCTTACTGGTTGCTGCTTTGGTTCTGAAAATCTTTGTGGTCTGTGATGACCTCATCACAAAGTAAAGGGACAGTTAATTTCACATGCTGGGTTTGTGATTTTCCCTCTGTAGGTTCCATAGAATAAGCCCTATAATCCACACTTCTCCAGATGGCAGACAGGAGGTCGGATGTCTGTGCAGGGGGGGATTTGTATCAGCCAAAGGGGGAGAAAAGGACCACACAACAGTCCTGGTGTCATTTGTAATCCTAAGAAACCTAACACATTCTGCATGTCTAAAAGGGCTCCAGAGGTGTTTTCTCTCACTGTTCTCAAGTGCCCAGTGCCCTTGATCCTATAGCTGCCCACGAAGTCAGTGTGAGGCAAGTAGGGGTTTGTTTCTGCAGATCCGGCTACACAGAGGCTGAGGATCGCCCTCTGACATCACCCCCAAACCCTGGGTAGAAGAATCTGCTATTAACTTGAAATTGAGTGACGTTCGTAGATATCTGAATGATCATTCACCTCTACGTGGTTGCACTAACTTCTCCACCTATTGGGAAAGGAAAAGCATGCCCAAGTTTCCCTCCCAGCATTTACTCTAAATTGCTTCAATCATCCAACTCAGAGGCCTTTCTTCTGTACTCAGAGAATTTTAAAAGATGACCTTCCTTCATGAACATGGAGATTTAGATATCTAGAATTTAAAGGTATTCCTCTAGTTCATAAATTGGGAAAATTGGATCCTAAGAAGAAACCATATAACCTGTAAACACTTTTAAATGTTTGACTCCATCTGTAATCAAAGTCACGCAGGCCTTAACTACCATTTAGATGTCATTCTTATCTACCAAAGGTTAGTAAAATGTCCTATCCAGCATGGGTGAGGACACAGTGACACGGGCACTTCCACACAGAGAAACTGGTATGAAATTTTTGGAGGCAAGTGAGTCACAGACTTCTAGATGTCTTTAGCTAACTCCCAGAAATTTATCTCAAGAAGGTAAAGGTGAACACAAAGACAAAAAAGTGAGGGCAATGTTTTCCAGGGAATATCTAGAAAATAGTTCTCTAAGCTAAATAGAGGCAGAGGGGCTCGTTAGCCAGATTGATTTGAGCAACACTGCAAGACTTCATCTTATAACTCCTTCTTGAAGATTCCCAAAGTATATTTGCATTCTCAAACTCTTAAAAAAAGGGGGAATCTCTTTAATCTCCTTAATTCTGTTCAACATACTGATTTCCAAATTTAAAGTGTCAGTAAAATCCTTATTTTGCATAATATCTGTTTTATGAACTCTTTTTTCAAACTCACAGCAAAAGTTGAAAAAAATTATACAGTGAATACTCCTATACTCATTATAGAGGTTCTATGATTAACCTTATACTGTTTCCATTTTATATTTGATAACATATATCGTTTCCATATACTTCCACATACTTTCCACAATACACATGTTTCTATAAATCCAAATCACAGATTGGTTTTGAAGTTCTTGCGTTTTATATATATGGAATTTTATAATGTATTACTCTTGTATAAAACTTTTTTGACTGAGTATTATATACTGTTTTTGAGATTTATACATGTTGCAATATCAAATAAACTAGAGGAATACCTTTAAATTCTAGTTATCTAAATCTCTGGGTTCATGAAGGAAGGTCACTTTTTAACATTTACACATGTTGTAATATCAGGCTTCTATATTCATCTACATTGATTCCAGTAGCTGAGAATAGCTGAAACATATTCTCTTGTGTGAATGTAATACCATTGCTTATATGTTCTTTTGTTGATAGATACCTGGTCTTTTTCTAGTTTGTAGCTATTAAATGAGGTTATTGCTAATGTTCTTCTATACATTTGTTGTGGTCACAGATTTTCATTTCACTTGGATTAACAGGAATGGAATTTATGGTTCACGGGGTTTGTTATACAGTAGTTCTATAAGAAACTACCAGACCTTTTTCCAAAATGGTGGTACTATTTTATATACCTGCCAACCAGGCATGGAGTTCCAGTTGCTTCATATGTTCATCAACACTTGGTATTGTCAGTCCTTATTTTAGCCATCCTAGTAGGTAGATAGTAGTGTTTCATACTTTTAATTTTAATTTCCCCATTGAGCATTTTTATGTGCTTATTGGGTATTCAGATATCTTACTTTGAGAAGTGTCAGATCAGATGTTTTTGCCCATTTTTATTGGGCTGTAATAATGTCCATTTTTGAATCTTTATATAGAGTCTATGTTCATAAGAATGTAAAAAATATCAGAGTTTAAAGTATACTAATGAAAAGAAGTTAGAACCCAAAGGGTCAGATCATTACCCTTTCTTTACTCCAGAAGGGTTTTATGTGTCTTTGATGATACTCTTTTCCCTCCTATTGGAGTAAAGCATGATTCTGGATTCCATATTAAATTATTACTGTATTTTCTGTGTAGATTTTACCATCTATGTGTGTATCCTTAAATAGTGTAACATGTGGTTTGCCTGTTTTGAATTTTATGTTCTGAGGATTTGTCTCTGTCACCTAATATCAGGCTTCTATATTCATCTACATTGATGCCAATAGCCACAGTTCATTCATTTTCACTGATCTATAGTATTTCATTAGAATTGCTCTACCATAACTCATTTATCTAGTCTACTAGTGATTTTTGAATTTTCAGTGTGTTCACTATTATGATGAAAGCTGCTCTGAGCATTTTGCAATATCTTTTAATACTTTACAAAATTCCAGATATATAGTATGTACTTTGGAAAATACTATGCTTCAGTTTAATGTTTATCCATCGTTAGTTATCCGGGCAGAAGTTAATAACCTAAATGTGCACTAATAAATGGTTAGTTAAGTTTACCAGGCATGCATACAGTAGAACATTATACAGGCATTAAAATTCATGTTTCTGTACTTATGATTATCAATTGCTAATTACATGAATAGAAAAGTAATAACTATCTAAATTATTAATAATAAGGGATTTGTGAAATAAGTTTATGAGTTAGGCATTCAAGATGCCATGCAGAAATAAACATTTAAGTTCTTGAAATATTTCATGTCACTTAATAATGGAAGTAAAACATAGTGGTACATGATATAGGGAGTATGATAAATAATTTGTAAAATAACACAGAAAAGGTTTGTGTGGAAATAAAAACTAGAAGCAAATACTCCAAAATGATCACAGTAATTAGTGGGTAGAGGAGGTTTTATAGATCATTTTTATTACACTCATTAATGCTTTTTCCATATTTTCAAATTTTTCTATATTGAGTATGCATCACTTTCATAGTAAAGAAAAGCAAAAAAAATATCATTTTAGAAAATGAATTTAGTGTTGTCAAGAATTGCTTTTATCAAAGATAGCTTGGAATGCAGACCTACAGGTCATTTTTTTTTTCTTTCTGGCAATTGCAGATATTTGAAATTAAAAATCTTGTCTGAGAACAACCTAGCGTGCCCTGAATTAACGTGAAGTCCTACTTTCTAATGAGGCCAGAGCTCTGTGGGGGCTGGGAAACATCACTATCGCATGTTTTCATCTCCAGCTTCAAACTGTTCTTTCCAGATGTTCACATCTTCCTTCTTCTCCCAGTCTCCCGCTCCTGCGTTAGCAGACTTCTTGAGGCGCTGACTGCGGGGAGGTAACAAAGGTGGCTGTGTAACATGTAGGGTGTGGGGCTACTCAGCCTGCTGACCGCCCGGGGGCCTGCAGGAGCCTTGCAAGATGCCCTGTAAACACGTGGCCTCTCTTTTTCTGAAAGATGGTAAAGATGCAGCGTGTTCCAGGACCAAAGGACCCAGCAGAGCTGACTTACTACACCCTGTACAACGGGAAGCCACTGCTGGGGACCGCAGCTGCCAAGATCCTGAGCACCATTGACTCCCAAAGGATGGCCTTGACCCTGCATCATGTTGTCCTTCTGCAAGCTGACCGTAAGAGAAATGTCCTCTCATTCAGTGTTTTTAATGCCGTTCAGTGTTTTCTGTGAGTCAAAATGATTCTCAAAATTCATTTTAATGGTGTCAGAGCTAAACGTATTTCTGTTCTGGAAAGTTCTTGTGTGCATGCGTGTGTGTGTGTGTGTGTGTGTGTGTGTGTGTGTGTTGGAAGGGGGTGCTAGGGATCCATCCCAGCACCTCGAACATGCTAGTGCTGCCACTGAGCCACACCCACATCCCTGTCTGGAAGGTTCTTAAATCAATCAGCGATATTGACTGTGTTGTTTAAAGCAATAGGTTTTGGGTAAGGGACGTGTTTTGTAATATCCAAATGATGGAAATGTTCTCTCTCTGCCCCCAAGTGCTGCTTACTCTTCCTCCTCGTATAACTAATGAACAGCTTTGAAAAATTACTACAACTGAGATTACATGTGTGTGCTGGAGGAATTAAAGATGATTTTATTCAACAAACATTTATATAGAGTCCTGCATGAACTGAGCTGAGTGCTGAAGGACATACAGAAATGGGCAAGACCTGGTTCCTGCCCTTAAGGAGCCAGGGAGTTCATGCAGGTCCAGAGATGTCTAATGCAGGATGGGACCTGGACGAGACAGTGTGACATGGGGGTCAACAGAGGGAAGGTTGGCTTTGAGGGGGCATCTGAAATTAAGCAAAAGAGAAAAGGATAAAACAATAGCCACCTCTTTGAGCCCCTCCCTGTGGCAGCTACTCTGCTAATTACCTAGATTCCCTTGCCTTCTACTCTCATCGGGGCAATGTTTATTCATCTGCAAAGGAGAGGAAACTGAGGCTCCGAAAAGCCAAATAACCTGCTCAGCATCACAGAGCCAGGACTTAGGTACCCCAAATACAGATCTGGATCATCCTGACTTCAAACCTGTTCTTATCTTACTGCACTCCAAGAGCTCAGCACAGGGAGAGGAGGGACTGTGTATTCTGAAAGGAGAACACCGTGGGCAAAAGAATGCAGAGGAAAAGTACCAGCTGAACTTGAAACAAGGGATTCAGGTGGCCTGGGGGAGCGGGGAGAAACAGGTGGGGGAATTGATGAATTTGGAAAGGTGTGTTGATTGGAAAACTCAGGCCTTGAATGGCAGAGGAAGGAGATGGTGTATATTGGGCTGTGTGGAGATTTTGAAGATTTCTGAGCAGGGGTGTAACCTCCTTGGAAGAACCCTTTACTTATGGAGGTTAATTGGTCGGCAGTGTCCAGGATGGGAGAAGACAGGAAGGTGGCAGCAGGTGGCAGGATCAGTGAGGAGGTTCCCTGGTGTCTCAGGCACTGGGGACCCAAACAAGTGCTATAATGAAACAGGAGAGGTAGGAAGGTGAGAGATTGCATGTGGCAGAAATCTCAGGGCTTGGCAACCCTGAGCATGGAAGGTCATGGAAGGTCATCTCCCACGGGTTTCCTAGCCGGTGTCCGTGCTCCTCAAGAACCGGGCATCTGCCTCATTATTTTCCTCTCCTTCTCACCTCCATCCTTCATTGGGGATGACTTTTGCTTCCAGGGGGATGGTGCTGCCCACGATTGTCATGCTTGGCCAGAATAATCCTCAAGGCACACCTTCGTGTAGGATGAGGATGGTCGCTCTGCAATCTGGTTTTTGAAATGACATTTGGAACAAGATTCTTTTCCTTTGCACCTCTCCCCTTCCTTTTTGTGGGCTCTGTCTTCATCTCTGGTCAACTACCTGCTTTCTCTATTTTGCTGCACCTTCTGTGTGGATTCCCAGGCTCTGCTCACAGCTCTCTCTCTCTCTCTAGGTGGAGAATAAGCCATAGAGAACAGGTGCAAAAGCCATTTCAGGTGCCAGGAGACAGGTGAAGGTGCTAGAAGTAGAGACTAAAGGAGTGGATGCATTTGGGAAGTGGGGTATGGAGCTGGTGGGGCAGGGTAGTGGATTCCCTGTGTGGCAGCAGTAGGAGGTGGGGATCAAAGGACGTCAGGGTGACTCCTAGTGTTGCCTTCAGCGTGTGTTGTGAGGCTGTTTGGCCAGATGCAGAAGGTGTGGGACAAAGAGCCTCAGCGGGGCTGGAGTGGGAATGGGAGAGATGGAACTGAGAGTTTGGTTTTAGGCACGTCAGGTTTGAGACGTCTACTAGACATCCTCATGGAACTTAGGAGAGGTAAATTTGGGCATCATCGATATACAGGTGACATTTAGAGCTAAGGGAGTAGGTGAGGGTAACTGGAAGAGTCTAGCTCGAGAAAAAAGGATGAAACTTGATCTTGTGGAGTCTGCGTGTGGAAGAGTGGCAGGGGGCTGGGAGGACACCCAGGAAAGAGGGGTTCAGAATGCAAGCCAAGAAAGTGAATCTCACAGAAGTGGGGTGGGGGGCTTGTCCATTTATATCCTCTAGAGGCAAGGCACAATGAAGAACTGTTGGTGATCTTGGCAGGAGAGGTGTCTGGGATGAGGCTGGCCCAGGAGCACTGTGATAGGGAAGTAGTGATGACAAATAGGGAAATGAATGGGGCAGTTGTTGGAGGGGCCCCTGGGAAATGCTGGTGTGAGTTTGGATATTAGTGGGGGTGCTGTAATAGAGAGGGAGATTTTGACAGTGCAGGAGAGAGAGGAGGGTTGAACCAGCAAAGTCCTTGTGTGGATAAGGGGCTGGGATCTAGCTCACTGGTAGAGGGTAGAGGGGTCCACAGGGACAGCTCATCCTTTTGTAATGAGAGAGAGAGCCGAGTACAAGTGTGTTTGGTAACGGGAGCCTGGGGACACATTCTCTGATCATTTCTGCTCTCTTGGGGCATACTGAATGGAGTTGGCAGCTGAGGTAGAGGCTGTGTGGGACGCTTGAGCAAGAAGAGCAAGCCGGCCAGCACGATGACATAGGTTTCCAGGACACCCCTCCTCGTCCTGTCCATCACTTCTCCTGTCCCAGTCCATCTACTCCTTTAGCCTATGGGTCTGAGACCCCCTCATCTCTGCTTCGGGCCTCTGGTACCTGGAAGAGATGAAGAACTGGCCTCACTGAAGGCAAGAGGAGAAGATGTGTCCAGGAAGAGGCTGAGGCTCAGGGGACTTTGCTGATGACAGTTGATGAGGACAGTGGAAGGAGCTAAGAGCAGGGGTTGGAGAGGGAGGGCATATCAGGTTAGGTGCATGGAGCCTTGGGACGTGAGCCTGGGTGGGGAGGGATGAGGCTTGACTGTGGCTCGGATTTCAGACCCCAGCCTGCCCAGCTCCAGGCTGCTTCCCTTTTACTGCTCCTCTGTCCCCTTCAAACCCACTTAGTCCTCTCAGCTCCCTTCTCCAGTAACTTGCGAGTCCACTTCCTTTTCTCCATTCCCTCAATCCTTCCTGCTCAGCCTGTGGCAGCAGCTTCCTGAGTGACAGCCTGTCACTCTCCTGGGCATGCACCTTCCACACCGCCACTACAGTCATTGTGGTAAGACGTGGATTCCGATCTGATATCTGCTCCATTCACAAGCAGTGGCTGTCCATCATTCACAGAATGGAACCCAAACTCCTTCAGAAAGGCCTTCACAGCAAGTCTCAAGTGCTCAGGTCTCCTCCCAACCTGCTTTTGGGCTCCTTGTCCAGCCACACGACTCCCTGATCCTGAGACACAGTGTCCATCTCCCTCAGTCCCAGGGGCTCCCACAGCATTTATCACTCAGCCAAGTTGTTTTCTACCTGATCCCTCTTGAGCTCTTTAAAAGCAGGTTCCACAATCCACCCATCTTGGCCTATCCAGCCCAGTTCCCACCTGACTTTGTTCTCGTGAAGGTAGAGGCACCAATCTTCATTAAACCCTCTGCAGGGTCCTAAGACAGACCTGTGGTTATAAGACTCCAGCAGAGGGAGGTGTGCAGAACCTCTGAGGTCAGGCTGTGCTATGTATATAGATCTGAGTTAAGATTAGAATTCCCCCAGAATGTAGGTGCTTGGAGAAGGATGCTAAAGGAGAAGGTGCTAAAGGATGGAAGAGGACAGAGTCTGGGAAATGCCTCCATTCCCGGGAGCAGATGAGGAAGAAAATAGGTCCAATAAAAAAGAGGGAGAGACTTTTTTTAAAACCCTGCCTTCTCATGGATTTGAAATCAGCCTCCAATGTTAATCCCAGGTCAGGTCTCTGAACAGAGGGTCCCAATCTTGAATGCTTTGTCCCACCAAAGAGAGAAGGTTAGCATCCTGTGTTTTAGGGCCTTCTAAATTGCTAGTCCCAGCGTCAAGACTGGAACCTGTGATGCCCGCTTGAGCCTCACCACCTCTGGAGAGGAGGTGGCATTCGACATCTTAGGAAGCAGCTGATTTCCCTGGGGCAGGCTGATATCAGCTCCATTTACAGATCTAGAGTGAGGGGTTCTTCAAAGCAGTTGGGCAGCTAAGGGAATGGGGAACATTCTCCCCACGAGATGCAGAGTGGTTTGACTTCTGTGGCCATCAGACCATCTTCCCAGAAATGCCACTTGAAGGACACAGTAGAGTGGAGCGTTGAGGACTCACTTTTATTCACTCCTTCAAGGAATATTTATTAAGCACCTACTATGTGGCAGGCACTGCCCTGGGCACTGTAGAGCGTTAGTGAAGGGAACAGAAAAAAGGAAAATCCCTACGCTGGTGGCTCTAACATTCCTGAATGGGCAGACTAGTTGCACAGAAAAAGCAGGCAGGGACGGGATGGGCAATGTGGAGGAGATACTGGTTGCAATTTTAAATTGTTGGGGGTCAAGAACAACATCAGGGAGGAAGTAACCCTGGAGAGACCACCTGAAGAGAGAGAGGGAGGAAGGGAGCAGCCCTGAGGACAGCTGGGGACCAGGTTCCAGCAGTGGAGGAGGGTTCAGAGCTCAGCGAGGAGGTCACTGAGAGGCAGAGTGGTGTTAGGAGGTCTGAGGCACAGATGGGGCCACAATCACTAGGCTCACAGGTTGGACCCTGAGTAGGATGAGATGCCACCCGAAGCAGGAGAACTACATGGGCTGAGTACTGGTCCCTGGGCAGAGTCTCCCCGGCCTCCACCCACCCAGCTGTGAACTCGAATGGCCACAAGAACGAACTGGAACAATTTTGAGTGGATTCTTCCGCCTTTCAACAGCTGTCCACATGAGAATAGTCTATTCTGTGCTTAGATTATTTAGACCCTTTGACTTCATTTCTTCTGACAAATACTGTGTGTGTGTGTGTGTGCACGTGTGTATGTGTGCTCACACTTCTGTTCATATGTGTTAATTCAGAACCAACTTAAACTATTTGTTTTAGAGAAATGACTTCCTATCAAAGTGTCCATCCTCCCTGGGCTCAGTTTCCTCACCTGCAAACTGGAATAAGAAGAGCTCACAGACAAAGGACCTGTCCCTGTGCCCAGCACTCAGAACCCAGCGTCTCCTTTTCCCTTCTGTCCTCTCCTGAAATTCTTGCGATTTAAGTAACCACTGTTCCTTTTCACCTCGGTGCATGTCTTTGTACCTTCAGATCATGTGCCAATGAATATATTGGGTTTGGATGACTTCAGTTGACCTAACATTTTGACCATTAAATGAAGTTATTAGTGCACATAAGATAAGATAAATCTATTCTCTTCCCCACTGAAATAGAGGTGAGGGAATTTTACATATTGCACCAAGAAAAATGGCATCCACCAAGACAATAAAACTGAGTAAGATCAGAGCATGCAAATATTTCATTCTTGTGAATGGGAAAAAAAATATACATATATATATATTCTATTCCATGTAGATATGTGCTTTTATTGGGGGGGGGTATGCTATACATTTTTCTCTATCGGGATAAAATAGCCTAGCCAAAAGAAGTATATTGATATTTTTCATAGAAGCTCTGAGCTTTAAAAAATGCTAATGGCACAAAACTCACATATAAATACTGAATTGCTAAAAGCAGTAGCAATTAAGGGTGTAATGTCAACAGAAGCACATTACCTAATGAGCTGTTTTCAGAAGTTAATAATGTGATTAATCACTGATTGATTAAAAACTGTAGACGAAGAAGTTCTTTGGTACTAATAGTATTTGAAGCCCAAGGGCAGCCAGATGACAAGTTCCTTGGTTAACAAGGAACCTGCAGAAATCAGGAGGTGGTTGGACTCAGAGAGGAAGGCTGGCGGGCTCCTCAGACAGGCCTTCCCCACGTGGTGCTTACCAGGGGGGTCTTTATATTCCAGGGTCTAGGTCCTGAGCATTAAAGTCTAGTAGTCTTCAGAGTCAAGGAGGATGAGGACCAGCTCAGGCTAACCAGACTTTACAAGAAATGAATATACAAACTAGAGTTAAAATATGGGCTAGAAATACAATTACCACAGAGATGGGACTTCTCCTTCTAACTTGCTGATACCCTATCTGGTTAGAAAACCTGTTGGGTGGTACCCAGGGTCAGCATCACCAAGCTGAATCAGCCCTGAATCAGCCATCTTGCCACTAGGATAGACCTGTCATTGGCCAGCTTACCCACATCTGCCATGGGACACATCCCCAGGGTGAACAAGTCCTTGCCTACCCTTCAGTTTTTCTCTGGATTCCTACAGACCCCACTCCCTTTCATTAATTTAGTCTGTAGACTGTTAAACTACTACTACTACTACTACTACTACTACTTCTTCTTCTTCCTTCCTCTTCCTCTTCCTCCTCTTCCTCTTCCTCTTCCTCTTCCTCTTCCTCTTCCTCTTCCTCTTCCTCTTCTTCTTCTTCTTCTTCTTCTTCTTCTTCTTTCTTCTTCTTCTTCCAGGGATTGAACTCAGGGGCTCTTGACCACTGAGCCACATCCCCAGCCCTATTTTGTATTTTTATTTAGAGACAGGGTCTCACTGAGTTGTTTAACACCTCACAGCTGCTGAGACTGGCTTTGAACTAGCGATCCTCCTGCCTCAGCTTCCCAAGCTGCTGGGATTACAGGCATGCTCCACCGTGCTTGGATGTAGATTGTTACTTTCTTTTAAAGTTACTGCTTTCTTTACTTCAGTTCTGAAAACATATTAGTCCTTTTGATTGGACTGAAGTGTTTTCCAAGAATCCCCATCAATGATTCTGGGGGAGACTCCTTCATCTCCTGTTTCTATCATTTTCCTAACCAATTTACCAAAACATTGGAAGAATTGTCAGCAAACACCCATGGACCTACTGCTTGGAATCCACAATTAGAATTTTACAATATTTTTATCATAGACGGGTTTAACTATTCCTCCATCCATCCGTCTATGTATTTGGGGGATGCATTTCAAAGTGAGTTCCAAACATGAGGGACTTCAATCCACTTCAGTATGCATATCATTGATTAGAGATCAACATTCATTTGTGACTTGCTTTAAGGAAAAATTTACATACAGTGAAATGTATGTATCTTCAAGTGCATTACTTGATGATTTTGGGTAAACACAGCCGTGTCACCCAAATAGCCCTCATGTTACAGAAAACCATCACCCTGTAGCCCTTCCCAGGTTCATTCATTCCCGCCCAGCCCCATAAAGACACCTGCTGCTCTCAGCACTAATTGTCCCTCCCGACAAGCACTCTGCTTACTTTTTCCTTACTCTAGTTCTGAGGACAGGCTGATCCTTTCCATTGACTGAGCCATTCCTAAGTTTTCCAGGGGAGATTCATCTGCTCATGTTGTATTTTATTCATTGCTCATTCGTGGGGTGACTTCCCTTCAATATTTAGAGTCATCTCTTGGTGGCTTTTTTAAAAAAAAATATTTTTAGTTGTAGATGGACACAATACCTTTATTTTTTAAAATGTATTTATTTTTATGTGGTGCTGAGGATCAAACCCAGTGCCTCACACGTGCTAGGCAAGCACTCAACCCCTGAGCCATAACTCCAGCCCCTCTTGGTGGCTTTTGCCTTCTGTCTCCAACACACACTTCTAATCCTCAGGTTTCTTTTTTCTTCTCCCTTTTTGACCCTTGGACATGACCACTGAGGAAAATCAACACTGATCATGTTTTTTTCTCCTGTTTTTAAATAATAGTAGAAGCTAGAATTTATTGAGTACCTACTAGGGAGCACAAGAAAACATCACACTAACCTATTTTACAGATGAGGAAACTGAGACTCAGAAGACTTGGGTCCCTTGACCAAGGTCACACAGCTGCAGCTGCAGAAGCAGAGGCGTTCTGACCTTGAACCCTCTTAATCGCTGCCTCCTCCCATCTCCTGACTTGGGGCTGGGAGGATTTCTGTCTGGGTTCCCTCTTCCCAGTGCTCCTTGTCACCTGCTTCCTGCTGGCTCTCTCCCACAGCTGTGGTGAAGAACCCCCCTAACAACCTGTGGATCATTGCGGCAGTGCTGGCGCCCATCGCCGTGGTCACGGTCATCATTATCATCATCACTGCTGTGCTCTGTAGGAAGAACAAGAACGACTTCAAGCCAGACACTATGATAAACCTGCCGCAGAGAGCAAAGGTATGTGGGGGCAGTGGGGAGAGGACAGGCGCCCAGGCCTGCAGAGGCTCTGCCTGCCTTTCCCTCTTGGCTTGTGTGGCCACTGCAGGTGTCTTCAGAGCCATTGTTATAGTCCTTGTTTATTTTTTTAATTTGTTTTTGGCACTAGGGATTGAACCCAGGGGCGCTTACCCCTGAGCTATACCCTCAACCCTTTTTTTATTTTTTATTTTATTTTGAGACATGGTCTCACTAACTTGCTTAGGGCCTTGCTAAGTTACTGAGGCTGGCTTTGAATATCCGACATTTCTCTCAGCCTCCCAAGTTGCTGGAATTACATAAGTGTGTCACTGTGCCTGGCTATCGTCTCATTTGAAGGAGACCCTTTATTTCATAATCAGGACAGGATAACTAATGTTTATCTGACGCTCACTCTTGGCCACAAATGCATCCAACCGGTTTTCAGATAGCAATTCTCTAATCCTCACAGCATCGCTTGGAGGAAAGACCATTATGTTACAGATGAGAAAACCGAGACGCAAAAAACTAGGAACTAGAGAGACCTGAAAGGACTTTAGAGATAATTTAATTTAATCAGATTCCCTTCTTTTACATGTGAAACGTAATTCCTTCAATGCTTTTTGAGTAGCAGAACTGACCGGAGCATCAAGCGTGCTGTGGTCTGAATATTTGTGTTTCCTGTATTTATACAATGAAATCCAGCCTCCGATGCCGTGATGTCGGTAGAAGGACCTCTGAGAGATGATTAGGTCATGCAGGTGGAGCCTCTAGGAATTAGATTAGGTCCCTTGTAATAGAAGTCCTAGAGCTCTCCCTGCCTCTGCTATCATGTGAGGACACAAGAAGTAGGCTTCTGTGGCCAGCTAGAGGGCCCTTGCCAGAGTCCAGCTATGCTAGCCCCTTCTCCTGGACTTCCAGCCTCTAGAACTGTGAGAAAGAAGTGTCTGTCACTGTCACTCCCTGGGGCACGTCAGCTCTCAAACTGTTCCTTGTTCCGCCCACTGGAGTGACTTCTCTTCAGTGGCTGCCGTGATAGACATGGAACATAGCCAGTGCTGGATGCCCATCAAACATCAGTTCCAAGGCTCTCCTGATGCCTGGCCTGGAGCGCCGTCCCCTCTCTGTCACCTGCATATCTCTGCACATCTGGTAACTGGGAGGGGGCTGGACTGGGGAAGTTCTGAAGGCTGATTTCCTAGTCACGTAGCTGCTCCGTGATGTTCTCTGAGGGAAATAGCCTAACTGTGACACCCAGTGCTTAAATAATGTCGTACAATTTGCTGGCTCTTCTAGGTTTCTCACCCCATGTGTTCCTCACAGCAGCCCTGTGAGGTAGGTCACAGTCGGGGCAGGTTTTATTATCCTCATTTAACTGCCAAGAAGCCCAAGGGAAAGGAAGGCGTTGGGGTTGGGCCAAAGTCGTATAGCTAACAGCATAAGGGTGGCTGGAGCCCTCATCTGCACATGCCATACCTACCTGACCCCTGATATGGGCAGGGAGTGTTAGCTGCCTGCTCTGAACCTCCGAGCTTGGTCTGTGTGGAAATGGCCAGTCACCCTTCATGCTTCATATCCATTGGAATGGAAGTTGGCCGTGGTGACCGTCCTTGCTGGGGGTCATGCATACATGCCTTCACTTTTTCTTCCTAATCACACCTCACTTCAGCAAATCAAGGTTTTTTTTTTTAATTGTTTCCTAAACCCACACACCTGTTGTGAAGCTGCAGCTTGATTGAACACTTTTCCATTGAAAAGCTGAACCCCAAAGAATATTGTTCTGCTTCTGTTGATGCAGAGGCACCTGCTTGCCAGACGCCCGCCACAGAATGTTGGTAAGGAGGGTACCAACTGTTCCAACAAGAAGGATTTCACTCTGTCTTAGCTGGGTTACAACATGAGCCTTTCAGACGTGACAGTAATTACCAGAATCTAATTGCAGCTGGGTCCAGGAATGTAAAACATGCCACGTCGGGGTGGGAAGTGGCATCTTTGTGTTGCAGATTAAACCAAAACCTTACTCATCTGCCAAGATGAGTTGGGCAACACACGATTGCAGCATCCCTTCTGGCTTGGAAGCTGTCTGGAGCTGGGACAGATGACTGTGGCTTTCCACAGCTCCTTTGGTGTGCGTGTCCCATGCAGCATGCTTCCTAAGGTACCTGGCTGATGTCAAACACCAAGTCAATTTATGTCCCTGGAGCTGATTGCTTTCTCTTGTGTTTGATGCTGCTGAATCTCTTCTCCCTCGACAAGGCTAGGCGAAGCACTTAAGATCTCCAAAGCCCCTTTGTCATGGGAAAGCAGCAGAGTGGAACTGCTTCTGTCTTACTGCAGTGCTGCTGTTGCAAGCCAGGGACACTGCAGTGTTTGAGAGAGCAGAGAGTGGCTGCATCGCTTCTCACAACCCGGCGCGTGTGTGTGTGAGCAGAATGCAACCATGCCAAGGGACAAGGAGGAATGAGAAAGCTAGCCTTTGCCACCAATCCATAGGCGAGGTGGATGGCCCCGGGGACATCACTGCGTCTTTAGCATGCAGGATGCCGTGCCAGAGAAGTCCTGGGGACCCTTTCTGAGACTCAGTAATAAACTTAACATGCTAAGCAGAGGAGGTGAGCGTGGTTTTCCTGGGAGCTGAGGCCAGTGCGTGGATCCTGCACCCCTTCTTCAGAGACAAGGTACTTAGACCTCCCCTTGGTCACCAGGCTACCAACTGGGCTTCTGCAGGTGGAATGTTGAGAAAATGGTAAATGCGAGCAGGTGATGTTTGTATTTCCCCTCCTCCTGGTTCTCTGTATTCTTTGTCACTGGATTTACAACCTCCCCCACCCCCGCCAACCCCAGTTTCCTCCTTATATAATTAAAGAGAACATTGCTCCCTGGAACAGACATCCTTGGGAGAAAGTAGTTAGGGCCATATCTGGTGCAGGATGGAGCTCGGGGGGCCGGCAATGGTTGACATGAATTTCTGCTTGGGACAGAACATTTGGGTCCTAAGTCAACTGTTTCCTCTTTTTTTACATACTATGTATGAACTCAGGAAAGGTACTTAAAATTAACCTATTTGTGCTTTGATTTTCCAATCTGTAAAATGGAGGTGGTAACAATATTCATGGATAGGTTGTTGTGGGGAGTAAGTGGGGAGTAAGTAAGTAATATGTAAACTGCTTTGAGCTCTGCCTGGTACGTAATACATATTTCATACAAGTTGGCTTTTATTGTTGCACATGCTTTTTTCTTAATAGGTCTTGGTAATATGTCTGTCTTTGAAATCATTGGGGATTATTTTTATTTGACAATTTTATAAAACTCATTGCATTAACTGAATATACTTCATGAGGTTGTATTACTCAGGTTGGGAGTCACTAGGGTGAGCCCAATAGGCAATTAATTAATCTTAGATAATGTGCAAGTTAAAGGTTGGAAGACCATTACCCTGGGAGTCAGAAAAGTGAGGAAAGAGTCTTCATTTTTCACCACTTACCTGTGTGATCTTGGGAAACTGACTGAATCTCTCTGAGCTTTTGTATTCCTGCTGGGAAAATTAAGACTGTGACATTTGTCCTGCTTGCCTCATGGGTTCATTGTGAGGACAAAATGAGGTATCAGTATTTTGTGTGCTGTAAATATTGAACATAGGTAAGAATCCTTATGATGAACCTAATAACAATGACCACCTTTTAAGCTGTTGTTCCCTACTGTCCCTGTTCCCACACACCTGTAATTGAACTAGTCACCTGAAGTATCCAGGGAAGGGTCAGGGGCCAAATCCAGAGAGAATTGGGAGAGTGGGGAGACAGGACCATAGCCTCCTCTCTCCATTACTAGATTCTTGGAAAATCTTAGCTGTTGGAGGCTTCCAGTGCCCCTAAAGACCAACCAGAAGCTGCCCAACCAAGATGGTACCTGCAGAAGGGAAGGAGGGGCCCTGGGATGAATCTTCAAGCAACAGGTAGATGTCCTGACACTGGGTCACATGGATTTTTATATGCTGCCTCTATCACAGAGCAGCTGTGTGAGCTTAACTCCTCTAAACCTCAGTTTCTTCATCTATAAAATGGAGACTCAATAATACTTATCTTTTTATATTATATTGAGACTGCATTGAGGTGATTTGTATGATGTGTCCACTCCTGGACCCGTAATAGTAATGAGGCTGAAATCATGAGCTTCTTCAGGTGAGAAACCAGTTACATCTCCATCTCTAAGCAGAGTCTCTGACACGAACCAGTGTTGTTGGACCAAAAGTGAATAGGATCATGGGGGGAAGGAGGGGTGGCAGAAAAGGGGCCAACAGAAGATAAGACTGGGCAAGTGCATTTGGCCAAAATGTGAAGGGCCTTGAATGCCTTGCCAAAGAGCTTGGTGGACACAAAGCATTTTTATTGAATGAGTGACGTGAACAGATATGGTTTTAAGGTAGCCTTGGAGACTTGTCAAGGGTGACCGTGGAAAGGCGTCCAATGGACGCCACAAGGTGGAGGCCAGAGACAGTGAAACAGCTTCCAGAAATATCCAGAAGTTGAATCTGAATGACCAGTTGGTTGTGGGAGGAGCAGGTGATTTGGTATTCTAGGGACTTCATCAAGACACCCAAAGGCTCCTTTGGTTCTGTTTCCTGTAGCACCCAGAAAGGGGAGGGAGGAGGAGGACACAGTCTTCCCTTAGCAAATACCATTTCATAAACTCAAATCTGGTCCTGGCATCCAAGTGCCACTGGTCACACAGGGGTCAGAAAGTGTGTCTCAGAAAGGGAGACCACTCATCCCAGAGTGAGTTCCCCAGGGAATTGGGGAGACTGTCCACAGCAAAGCCATGGGCAGCCTTCTGTCTTTTCTGTAGAGATTCTGTACCTGGGAAGAACTAAAACAGATTCTGATTTTGCAAAACAGGGTAATGACGGGGATTTGAGTTAACTCTGGTTCATCAAAAAACTAAGTTGGGCTCTATCACATGCATGTGGCTGCCTGTCTTCTCTCAATCTTTGCTGGATGCAGCAAGAAAACTCCAACCTGTTCTGGGACACAGTAGTGAAGTTTGACAGGTCAGCCACAGTTCTAGACGGTGGATTGTTAAATCTGGTGTGCTTCTTAGACAAGTTAGCTGCCAAAGGAGGAGCTCCTGGTCATATCAAGTTCTGATAGACTCTAAATGGTAGGGGTTGACTTTCATCTCCAGATTTTCTGGAAGAGAATGGCTAAAGTTCACTTCACCTGGGATATGATTATTAGGAAGGTAGATGGTCATAACTAACACCAATGATTGAGCACTTACTATGTGCCAAGCTCTTAGCTAAATGATGAGCTTGACTTACTTAATCTTCATGGCATGGGGATTATTATCCCTATTATTATCTCCATGTTACAGGTGAAGAAACTGATGCCAAAGAATGTCAGTCACTTACCTGAGGTCACTCAGCTAATGCGTGGTTGGGTCAGGATCTGAATCCAGGAAGCCTGCTTTTGGACCTGCCATTCAACATCACACTGTCCCGCTTCAACTCTGTACCATACTGCATTGGGGTAAAAAATGGAATAGAGATGCTGCAGGAATTGTTTAAACATTCTTCCTGATTTTTCACTACCCTACTAATAGCTGCTTGTTGGATTTTGCCCTCAACTGTCTTATTCACTTGGAATTTCAGATATTGTACAATAAAAGCCTTACTAATTTCCCAGGAATGAATTATAGGACAGCCAGTCTGCTCAAGGGAGGAGTCTAGATCAAAGAGTGATGCCCTCAGATACATGTTGTTATTAATCACATGTGGTACCATGTTTCCCTGTTTTCAGATTTGTGTTCCACTTTGATACTCGGGGATGGTGGAAGCAAAGCAGATAAGATTGCCTTCATTTTTCACATGAGAAAATGGACGTTCAGAGACCAAATGACTTGGAAAAGCCATGCATTTGTTATTACACAATAAATTTATATGGGAGCAGAGTTCAAGGGGAGTCAAATACTTCAAGGCAGGAGATAATAGGATCTGGAATACTTTAATATATCAATTAACAACTGTTCCAAATTATGAGTATCCTTGACTTAAAAGGAATGGTCTAATGCCAGACTTGGGAGGCTGAGGCAGAATCACAAGTTTGAGGCCAACCTCAGCAATTTAGCAAGGCCCAAAGCAATTTAGTGAATAAAAATAAAGAGTGGTGGAGATGTAGCTCAGTGGTAAAGTTCCCTTGGTTTCAATCCCAAGTTAAAAAAAAAAAAAATGGTCTCAAGTCCTGGAAGAAGTTTATTCTCATTCTCACATACCTATTTGCATCTTGTTTACGCTCTTCCTTCTTCTGAGCAAGTCTTTTCTGTAGAGGTTCTGTACCTGGAAAGAACTAAAACAGATTCTGGTTTTGCAAGACAGAATAGTGATGGGGATTTGAGTTAACTCTGGTTCATCAGAAAGCTAAGTTGGGCCCCCTCACATGCATGTCGCTGCCTGTCTAGAAAACTTTTCTCTAGAAATATGACAAACCTTTGTCCTCTTTGCAGCCTGTGCAAGGCTTTGACTATGCCAAGCAGCACCTGGGCCAGCAAGGGGCAGATGAGGAGGTCATCCCTGTGACTCAGGAAACGGTAGTCCTCCCCCTGCCCGTTAGAGATGCTCCTCAGGAAAGAGACATCGCTCAGGACGGGAGCACCATCAAGACAGCCAAGTCCACGGAAACCAGAAAAAGGTAGGCACGGGGCCCACTGCTGCTTCTCAGTGTCAGCAAGAGAAATAATGGATGGAGAGAGGAACTGTGTGTCTCAAGTGAATTCTGCTGTTCCCCTTAAAAATTCCCCTCCAAGCTCATTTTGAATATTGAAAAGGAGACTAAGGGAGATCACAGAATCTCAATACCTGCTCACTCCAGCTGCCCTTTGTGAGGCTTTATGTTGTGGCTCAACCTCAGCAGTGGAGATTCAGCCTCTCTGTTTGCTCTAACAAATTTGGCGGTAATATCACCCTTGCGTTTTTAATGTCGCTTAAAAAGCAGTGCCTTTGATTCAGGATTGTTGTATTTTCTCTGATTTCAGCAAAAACCATTTATTAAATTTTTACTATGAACAGAGCATTTGACAGGCATTAGGAGCCCTATAAGAATGTGTAAGATTGATTCCTGACCCCAAGGATCTCATGATGGAGGAGACAGAGATAAATAATGGAACACTAAGCATGCTGATGTGTGGGTGCCTGCAGTGGGGTCTGAGTAAAGGGCTGTGGCGTAGACAGGAGGGAGGACCTCGTGCTGTCCAGGGAGACAGGATGGAGCAGGTTGTTTTGGCTCAGGCCTGAGGGCAGGAAGGGTCTGAGTCCTGGGAAGAGAGAAAAGCATCCATCTGAAAGAGCTGGGAAGGAAGGAAAGGGATGTCCTCTGAATGGTGAATGTTCCTGGAGTTTAGAGGTCACAGTGATTTGGGATGTAGCAAAGGATGAAACAAGAAGATGGATTAAAATTGTATATGGTCTTGACTGCCCCAGACTGAGATGGACCCTTATTCTCTAGACACTGAAAGTTCTCCAGGAAGACAGTGAAGGCCAGCCTGCATTTTTTTTTTATTTTCTGCATTTTTTTTTATTAGTTACACATGACAGTACAATGATCTCGACATTTCATACATTTGAATCAAATGGGGTATCATTTCTCATTTTTCTGATTGTACAGGTTGTAGAATCACATTGGTTATGCAGTCATGTATATACATACAGCAATACTAGTGTCTATTTTATTCTGCTACCCTTTCTATTCCCCCTTCCCCTCCCCTCCCCTCCCAACACCTCTCTCTACCCAATCTAATGTGACACACTTCTTTTTTTTTCCCCTCACATCATCATACATGTAATCTGTATAACAATGAGGATCTCCTTCCATCTTCCATGCAATTCCCCTTCTCCCTCCTTTCCCTCCCACCTCTCTTCCCTATTTAGTGGTAGTCTTATTCTCATGCTCTTCCTCCCTATCCCATTTTGAGTCATCCCCCTTATATCAGAGAAGACATTCGGCATTTGTTTTTTAGGGATTGGCTAACTTCACTCAGCATAATCTGCTCTAATGCCATCCATTTCCCTGCAAATGCCATGATCTTGTTATTTTTTAGTGCTGAGTAATATTCCATTGTGTATAAATGCCACATTTTTTTATCCATTCATCTATTGAAGGGCATCTAGGTTGGTTCCACAGTCTAGCTATTGTGAATTGTGCTGCTATAAACATTGATGTGGCTGTGTCCCTGTAGTATGCCATTTTTAGGTCCTTTGTGTATAGTCCAAGAAGAGGACTTTATACCTATATAGTATACTATATACCTATAGTTGGGTCAAATGGTGGTTCCATTCCCAGTTTTCCAAGGAATCTCCATACTGCTTTCCAAATTGGCTGCACCAATTTGCAGCCTGCATTTTTGAAGGACTACTTTTAATACAATCTAGATAGACGGGAGAGGCTAGGTTAGAGACGCAAAGACTCATTATTAGGACTTGGCCTCATAAAGAGGTCATGATCCCCATGGCAGGCACTGTTGCCTGGCAAAACCAACACTCATGCCAACCCCTTCTCCCTTGCCTGAGATCACTATCAAGGTAGAAAAGCCACGTCTTGCCTGCATCCATCCTTCTTTCCTCCCTTTATCCAACAGTTGCTTATTTGCTGTCTGTTTGTCAGACACTAGGAATACTTCTCCGAACAAGGCAAAGTTCCTATTCTCACAGAGCTTACAACCTGGTGTGGAGAAACAGGCAATAAACAAATAGAGAAATAGAAAAGGTCCATGGATAAAATAAAAGAAGAAAACTATGTTGGCAAGATTTCTGTTGTTTTGACTAACATACCTGAAAAGAACACTTATAAGAAAGATTTATTTTGTCTCATAGAAAGACTCTGCCTACAGTTAGTTGGCTCCGAGGTAGAACATCATGGCAGAAGGGTATGGTCGAGGAGAGCTTCCCAGGTCATGGCAGCCAGGAAGCAGATAGAGCACCACAGGAAGGGCCAGGGATAGATATAGTCCCCAAGGCCAAGCCCCCAGTGACCTACTGTTTTCACCATACTCCTGTAGTTCATTCAAATTATTAATCCATCAAGTGAATTATTCCACAGATGATGTCAGATCCCTGATGAACCAATCTTTTTATCTCTGAACACTGCTGTATTGCCTAACACATGAGCTTTTGGGGGACATTCTTGATCCAAACCATAACAAAAACCGAAATGCAACAAAGGGGTGGAGGGAATGGGGCATAGCACTGTTTGAGGTGGGCAGCCAGGGAAGACCTCTCTGATAAATGACATTTAAGAAGGACCTCACCCGTTGAAATGAGGTGTCAGCCAGGAGGCTATTGTGGGAAGAATGTTATAAGTAGACAAAAGAGTATGTGCAAAGCCCAGAGGAGGGAACTCCTTGATGTGCTTAAAGAAGAACAAGAAGGCCAAGGAGGCTGGTGTGAACTAGGAAGGAAGTAGTGGTGGAGTCGGAGAAGTTACCTGTGGCTGCTCATGGCAGACTTTACAGACCAAAGTCAGGACTGGGAATTTTATTGAATAAAGGTCAGAAATCATTGGAGGGGTTTGAGAAGAGCAACAACACAACATGACTTAAAGGCTCACTCTGGCTTTATGTGGAAAAGAGACCGCAGGGGTGCAGAGTGGAAGCAGAGAGACCTGTAGGAGGTTATTGCAGTGGTTCAGGTGAGAAGGCATGGGGACCATTGGGCCATTGTGTGAGAAGTGGGTGGATTCTGGAAATATTTTAAAGGAAGAGCTGACAAGATTTTCTGATAGAGTGTTGTGGGATATGGAAATTGAGAAGAATGAATTATCCATTTATTCTGTTGGAGACTGAAGAAGAAGAATGTTGTAGGGGATGATCAAGAGTTTAGATATGGGCATGGAGAGTTTGAGATGCCTAGAGATATGCAAGTAAGTCAAGCAGGAACCTTGTATTTTCTTTCAGAAATTCTTGATACCTCAAAAAGAGGGTTGGACTTCACCTTGTGCAGGAAAGAAAGTTGAAGGAATGTGCATTAGTTATCTGTTGTTCTGTAACCGCCCACTCCATAGCTTAATTGTTTAAAACAACCACCATTTATTTGGCTTATGATTTTGGTGGTCTGATAGTTTGGGCTGAGCTCCACTGGTTGGTTCTTCAGTCTCAGTTGGACTTGCTCCTGCATCTCCAGTCAGGTGATAGAGATCAAGTCAGCTAGGCTGACTCATTGCTGATAGCCTTTTCTGGGGGTAGCCCAGGTAAGTGGGGCCTCTCTCCACCTAGTCTCTGATCCTCCAACAGGCTAGCCCTGGCTTCCCAAGGTTCCCAGGGCAGCAAGAAAAACAAGCCCCCAAATGTAAGCATTTCTCAAGTCTCTGCTTGGGTCATGTCTGCTACTGTCCTGTTGGCCAAAGCAAGTCATATGATCAAGTTCAGAGACAGTGTGGGAGAAAAGGCCACAAAACTTGGTTATAGAGAAGTATAAACAAATTGTGACCATTACTGCAGTGGATTAAGCAGGTGGGAGACCCTGAGAAGAGCAGAGTTGAAATGTACAGAGAAGCAATAGATGATTTATCTGAACTGACTTGCAAGTAATAATAATACCTGTAGCAAATTATCCTTATCTTTGCCAAGTATGATAAAGACATATTGACAACTTATTTATTACCTATTCAGGAGATACTGAAAAGAAAGAATTAGTATTACTAAAATTAGGATATTAACACTTCCAGGAAGAGGTCTACTGGAGTTGAGTAAATTATTGAAAGATTAATTTTTTACAAAATTTTAGAATAAGCATTTTTTTTGGATTAGTAAGGAGTCACCTCTTGCTGATTTCATTTATTTACTATCAAATAATTATTAAGAAATATGATCTTATGAGGTAAATACAGATAACTAAAATAATGCCTATACTGCTGCATGTGTTATTAGCTTCATTATTTTACTATAAAAATATAATTTTACTAAGGATTGACTATATCACTGCCTAGGCTTTGGGAGAAACCTCATTTCTGGTCAAGTCATGGTCAAGATCATTCAGAAAGAATTTAAACACTAAATCCGTGCTTCTGGTTTCCCTATCTTGCCACATCCGTCTCCTCATTCCAGTTCGATAAGGACTGTAGGGCCTCACAGGATGGGTGTGTTTGATGACCAAAAGAAGGGTTGCAGATTAAAAATAGGGGAAACCAATTAATTGGTAATTATTAATATGTTTTATTTTTTAAAATTATTTTAAAACAGAAATCTGAGGATTCAGTCACTTCTAGATAGCCTGATGTGTGGCAAAAGGATCTTTTTCTTCCATGTAGGGTCTTGGTGATGTTATTTTGTTGGTCTCTGGCTGGAATTGATAGGCCAGAATGGAGAACCAACCTCATAGGAATATTCAGCCATTTGCAAAGGGCACTTAAATTAATGACTGGCCATAATTGTTCATCAATTGATTAGTTCCCACCCCAAAGAATTCCTCTCGTCTCCACCTCTACATAGCTTCAGAATGGGGACCACTGAGTTCAATAGTGTAAAACTACAATCCCACAGGTGGTGCATTTGTGCTTTCAAAAATCACTTATATTACTGTTATGTGAGTTGCCTGTGTGCATGGGAATTTTGAACAGGAGGTTTTCAAAAATATTTTTAAGTTGTTGATGGACCTTTATTTTATTCATTTAATTATATGCAGTGCTGAGAATCAAACCCAGTGCCTCACACAGGTGAGGCAAGTACTCTACCACTGCTCCACAACCTCAACCCTTGACCAGGAATTTTGAGTCGATGACTTCATGTAAACAGAGCTCTACAAACTGATGCAAAAAATACAGCAGACTTAGCTTTTCTCTATAGAAATTTAGTCATTGACACTTTTCCTTGGAATGAGAACAAGGAGTCAGAAAATTGATTCAGCATCAAGGAATGGAAAGGGTATGAAAATACCACCAAAAATCATTAAGTAATTTGCAAATGTAAAAACAGATTACAAAGAGATTTTTTTCCTTCCTGTCTGCACCTAAATGAAAACTTTTTTGTTCCAATAAAACCAATGGGGGGAGTAGGTACCTTTAACTATGAGATTCTGAAAACAATCCAAGGGCATATGTCTTCTCTGTGTATGTGAATTTTGACATCCAGCATTCAGTGAACAAATAGTTATTAGATAAATAATAATACATATTCAACAAATTAATGCCCGATCCATGTTTTCCTAGACTATACCCTTTGTATTAGTATTTTTATAGGATGTTAAAAGGTTTCATGGTGAAAGAGACTTGTGGACAAATAAATTGGGGAAATGCTATATTAAATGCTAATGGAACTAGATGAGCCTATTTTTGATAGAACTGATCAAAGCCTTTTGTATGCTAATGTGCATTTAGAATCCCCAAAGAAAAAATATAGTGAACATTTCCCAAACTGAGAGGGGTGTGTGGAACTTTGGCTCTAGTGTTCTATAGAACACTCAACAGATGCTATCTTATCCTGTAAGTATCCCAACATTCACTGTTGGTGGCTTTTAAGGTACTAATGTGTATAGAACTGAGAACTCTAAATTCTCAGAGAAAAAGGAGGAGGAAGAAGGAAGAGAAGGAGGAGGAGGAGGAGGAGGAGGAGGAGGAGGAGGAAGAGGAGGAGGAGGAAAATGAGTGTCTGCAGGGCACATAGCATCTACCTAAGAAGCTGCTTGCCTGTAGGTCAGGGGCTTTCATTCTAGTCAGTTTTCTGTTGTAGGATCCAGATGCCAGTATTTTTTTGGCATTAGTTGGACAACTGACAGTAGAAGACCAAGAGGCTAGTCCTATCTAGGTAGCTGCCTGCTGACCATCTTCCATAGAGAGGAGACAGGCGGTTGGTCCTTGTGCTCCGTCTACCCACAGTGGCATGATCTGAGGGCTCAGAGAGTGCCAACCTATGGGGGACTTTTGAGAGTCCACTTTTCCAGAGTTCCAGAAGGCTGGAGTCCAGCCCTGAGGAAAGGAAAGAAGTCCATGGCTTGCCCTCAATGGGGTTGCTGCTGTAGTCAGGGAAGGAGGGTGTTCTGGGGTGTGGGTGGAAGGGCAGCCCTGGTTTCCTGGCTGGTTCACCACTGCCCAACTCTGCCCCAACAGCTCTCTTCAGGGTCATGAGCTTCATGTTCCCCTCTTCTGTATGAGGCTGGCCGTCACCAAATCAGGGGATTATTCTAGTGACTCTTGACCAGTTCTGGAAGTACTTGGCATAGTCCTTGGCACACAGAAGATATTCCTGATGAGAGTGCTCAATATGGATTGGCATCACTGTGTCTATAGACCTGTTTACCTGGTATGATGCTTGGCACAAAGAATGGGTACGATACATATTTCTGAAGGGACAAATAGCTCAAGTTGGCAGTTTCAAAATAGAAGTGCTTACTAGTTCCTATAGTTAAAGGTTCCTATGGTTCCTATAGTTAAATTTCCACACACCCCTCTCAGTTTGGGAAATGTTCACTATATTTTTCCTTTGTGTAAGTGTATGTGTGTGTGTGAGAGAGAGAGAGAGAGACCTGACAGAGTGAAGACCCTGTGGGGTGACTTAATCTGTAGTTTTTAAGGTCAATACCATGAAGAGAATAGCCAAAGAGAACTGTGTTCTATACATGTCTGAAGACGCCCAGGGGATTCAAACACTCAGCATCAAAAGTGCTCTGTGTTGAAAGGAGGACGTGCTACACAATCACTGTGGCCATTGTTTCCATCCATAGCCACCAGGGTGTTAAGGAAACCACGATGGGACTGAGGGCTGAGCTCCCCTAACTTGTCTGCGGAGCCGGGCAGGGGCGAGTGCGCTTCAGCACCCCCAGCCTCACCCATGCAGCAGTGTGGGTGGGTTTTGTTGTCTTCTTTTCTTGTATCATTTCTTCTTTGCTGGTAAAACTGGAACGAAAGGCTACAGACATCAACTGTGCAAATAACCTTGAGAGGCGGCTGTTCTAGTCGAAACTTACACGGTCTCCCTTGTTGCTATGGTTACCTCCAGCAGGTCGCCCAGTGAGACTGGCTCTGTCATCAGCAACGAATCAGGGAAGCCCAGCTCAGGGAGACGCTCACCCCAGATCGTAATGGCACAGCAGAAAGTGACAAAGGAGGAGGCAAGGAAGAGAAATGGTGAGAAGCCTTCCCGCCAAGCACCACCAGCCCCTCCCACGCGTGCCCGCGCACACGCCTGCGCATGTGTCGCACGAACCGGGTCCTCTTTCTTCTGCAAGACAAGGACCCTGAGTCCGCTGTGAACCTCTTGGGTGATCACCATAGCTCCTTCTCTGAATTGTCCTGTCCTCCCCTCTCTGCACTCTGTTCTTAAGGAATTGTGCAGTTTCTTAGAAAATCCCTCTGCAGGACGTCTTGATATTTGCTTAGAGATTTTTCAACTTCTTCAGTGAATCCACATGATTTCTAGCCTTGGGTCCATTAAGGTAGCAGGTCTCAGAAATGTTGCCCTTCTTTGAGATTTTCTTCAATTTCTTGCCCTGATACCCCTGATGAGTTTCAGGGGGTTCAGTCAGTACCAGTGAGTTGAGATATTGCAAATACATCTGGGGCAGGGGACCATGAACAGATCTGTGATTTTTTTTTTTTAAAAAAAACAGCTTTATGCTGAATTCTTCTGGGAAACTTAAGTGTTTAGTTTCCATCTCACACAGATCATTTCATTCCCCATAAAGGATGTGTTTGAGGTCTATTTCTGGGTTGCCTGAGCTCCCTTATTGTGCTATAGATCACCTCTGTTGGACATCAATGTGCATCCCCCCCCTCTCCTGATCCCACCTTTGTTCTGACCCTCATCCCCATGTGGTCCTTCTGCTCATGAGGCTGTCTTACTGGAGAGCAGAGTACAGGAGCTTGGTGCTGCTGGTTTCAGATCAGGGAAAATTCCTTTTGGATTTCAAAGGGTTATAGGTGGAGCTCTACAGGAATGCCAGGTGAAAAGCTAAGCAATCTGGCACTGTGCTTGGCTGCACTTTTCTTTTACGGGAATTTGATGAAGTGAAGTTCAGGAACTCTCTCTTGAAGCTAGTGCCAGAATATTATTTTGTTTTCAAATGTCACTTATTTCTTTTTTCGAGAGAGAGAGAGAGAGAGAGAAAAGATAGACACACAGAGTGGATTCGCATTCCAGAGAGAAAACATAGTCCCCATCCTTATTTCCAGTTGTTATGTAAAGCACCTGTTTAAACTGTCTTGTCACTCAGAGATGATCTGAAATACATGGGAAAACATACTATGCCATTTTATGTAGGGGACTTGAGCATCCACAGATTTTGTTATCTGTAGGTATTCTGGAACCAACCCTCTGAGGTACCAAGGGATACAAGTTCTGCAGTGGTCACTGACCCCTAGTCCAGATGATATTATCCTACCCTCCCTCCCCACTCACCCACCCCAGGCCTCATGTAACCCTGAATAAATCAGTGTATGTCTTTCTCTGACCTTTTTACTATGCATACAATAACATGCACATATCTTTGTGTTTTGTTATATTGCTTTGTTTTCTTTTATGAAATGGAATCAATGTACATATTATCCTATGCCCTTTTTCCTGCTCAAAAATGTGCAAAGTACAGACTTCTCTGACAATGAGTAGACATTCATAACATGATGCCCTTTGTCCTCTCCTGTATTTAATCCATGGAGGAAGAGGAAGCAGCCAGTTATTGACCGCGTCACTCCCCGCCCCCCTGGAGACACTCTGACCTGCTCTAAGTGTCCCTGCTGTCCTTCACTGTTCCTATTTGTTCACCTGCTCTGCCTGCCTCCTTATTATGTTTAGGTCACTGACTATTTAAATAGGTGGTCCATCTTATATGAATACATCATAGTGAATCCCACCATCATGTACATCCATAAAAATGGGGTCCTAACTAGAATAAGATACATTCCGTGCTTGTACATTTATATCAAAATGAATTCTACTGTCAGATATAACTAAAAGGAACCAAAAACAAATAAACAAATGGCAGGTCCAGAAATAGCAATAGACAGGTGTGTGAATAAAATGCAGTTACTGTACCAGGTTGAGGTTTTTGTTTGTTTTATTAAGAAACTATCCTTCCCAGGTTTAGAGTGCTTACTCGCTCACATTTTACTTTTGCCAAGTAAACGCAGTGAATTTTCAGTGATTGTTTCTGTTTTACTGTAAGTTTCCATTCAGTGAGGTTAAAGATTAAAATTTCCAACTAGGAATGATAGAACCAACTCACTCATTTTATATAAAACTCAACCAGTGCAGAACCACATTGGCATTCTAGAATCAATCTCTTATGAAACCCACATTTGTCTTTTTCTAATCAAAGGGCTCCTTTTTATTGTAATACTAGATAAGAGTTAACCAATAAACGTCAATAATGTATTTGGATTAGAAGATGGATGGAAGGGAGGGAGGAAGGGAGGGAGGGAGGGGGATAAAAAAACACTGAATGGGATTGTGGAGAAAATAGAAAGGCGTTTTTTTGGTCACTTTGCTAGCCTGCAAAGAGTATTGAGCTCTTCTCGTTTGGCCTCTGAGTACAGATTCTTCTGTTGGTATGGAATATTCCAGTACTGTTGTCTTATGGCTTGGTGTGTGTTCTAGAAGCTAGGGTTACAGAGGTTAATTAATGTTAATGTGCTGGGCTGACATTCTAAAGCTATTCTTATTTTCCACCAGTTTTGTTGCACCAGTTTTTGTAGCTTCTAAAATTCTTCTTTTGTGAAAATAAAAACTTTAAGAGGAAAAGACCTTATCCTGCTAGCAACATGACTTCCACAGCTCCTTGTTGCCCAATGGCCTCTTAGTGACCATAGCTGCAATGCAGTTTTAGAGTCGATTTCATGAAGATGTTTAATTATATATGGGAAAGTTAGATGTGACAACAAGAACAATTGGGTGCTTTCCTCAACCAAATATAAACATTTGCACTTGAACCTAGTGTCACCTTTGAAAGGTGTTTTCCAAAAGAGAGAGTTAAGTTAAAATAAAATATGCATATTTTTCTTCATCCATTTAGGAGGAAACAACCTCCTTAAATCCTGTGTCATTCAGATTTCACTGAGGCCCAGAATCTAACAGCCATGGGCAAATGAGGAAAGAGGAGAAAGCATTAGAGACTTTCAGGAGTCAATTGCTTTTTCAGCAGGGGTCTTGGGGAAAGATCTAGAATTAGGACATAAAGGAAGAATGTCAGAGATACTAGCTCAAAAACAGTTTCAGTTCTCATTTATTCTTTGCTCTCCAGATGATGTGGAAGCTTGCTTTTACTCATTTAGGTTTTCCCTGGCAAATGGTAATTGTAGATATTCATAGGGTACCATGTGATTTTCGGTACCTGCATATGTGTGGAATGACCACACCATGGTAATCAACATATCAGATTACACCAGAGGGCAGTGATTCTAGTTGTCGATTATTAATAGTCTTTGGCTTTAATGAACATTTCAGAAAAAAACATGTTTGAATAGCATTTCTGCCTCCAATGGGAGGATTTTCCCCATGCCAATTGAACATGAAAAGTGAAATCTTTTTCTAACTTGATTTACTGAAATAAAAACCAACAATGCAAATAAAGTACAACAAGATAGAAAATGGTGGCATAGTGGCATCTACTGTGTGGATAGCATCCTAAGACTCTTCCTCAGCTTAACTGTGGCCCTTGCCCTTAGCATCCTTCCATGCTTTTTACTTTGGGGACTAATTATGCATTAAAATCCCCATGAACCTGCTGCTCTCACACAACATTTAATGCATTAATATTTAACATGATGTCTTTGAATGTATTTTTCTGTAAAGTCTTTTTGGAAAGAGGATAACTAATTAATCTTAAAAACCTAGAGGAATTGTTGTACAAATCTGGATATGACTTTTTTTTTTTTCAAATTGAAGTAGAAATAGAACTGTAACTTATACAATTTCTAGGATGTCGTTTTCCTGTCCTATTATAATCATGCTGCCCACAGCATGATGGGTGAAGGTGTCAAACCTAGAAGCAATAAAAATGCTCCATACCATCTCTTCACCTCTGAATGGTTTAGTGATAGCATGACTTTAGCATCCACATTGGCATCTGTTTTTCTGGCTCTCATATCTCCTTTCCCAAGTCAAGAAAACTGAGCCATTCATTCATTCATTCACTCATTTTTTCACCAAATACTTATTGAAAGCCAGCTCCATGGGAAACACCATTGAAAGGCAAGAAGCATCAGCCTTTTAAAAGATGGGCAGGAATAGAGCTTCTATGCTAGTGGTAGGGCAAGGGCAGATTGTCAGAACATCAAATCAGTAATGCTAAGAGCAATGAAGAAAGTATAACAAGATGACAAGGGGTGGTTGTAGGCGGCTGGTTAGGGAAAATAGTTTTCAAGCTGCAACTTGAAAAGTAAGAAGGTACTGGGCATGGAAAGGTCTTCAGAAATTGCAGTCTGAGAAGGGGAAGGCTAAAGCAAAACAGAGCAGGTGAAAACAGAAATGCATGTTTTTGTCACTTTGCTAGACTGCAAAAAATATTGAGCTCTTCTTGTTTGACTGGCCTCTGAGAAGATTGCTGTGATGGAGCAGAATGGATTAGTGGGTAGGAGATGGGCTCTGCGAGGTGGCCAGCACCAGCTCCCCTAGGTCCCTGTAGGGGAGAGATGAAGTCTGCAGATGGTTCTGATCAGAGACATAATGTGATCTTGTTCCCTTTCAAAATTCATCCATCCTTGCTGCTGGGGAATATGCATTTAGGGGTAAAGGGATAAGAGTGGAAATGCCAAGGTAGGTGATTGCTTAGAAGGTATACATGTAACAAAATTGCCCCTATACTTAGTGACCTAAAATGACAATCTGTATTTATTGTCTTTCATAATTTCTGTGGGTCTGGAATTTAGCAGTGGCTTAGCTGGGTGATACTGGCTTAGGGTCTCTCATGAGATCATGGTCAAGATGTTGGTGTAAATTGTAGTCAACTAATACCTTGACTGAGCCTGCAGATGGCTCACTCACATGACTGTTGGCAAGAAGCCTGTGTTCCCTGCCGGATGGACTTTTCCAAAGTACTGCTTGAGTGTCCTCATAACATGGCTGCTGGTTTTCCCCAGAAAGCAAGGTGGAAGACATCATGGTATTTTTTTAATTATTATTTACTCTCACAGAGTGGTGTGCAATCACCAGGGATTTCTTGCCTGCTCAGAGGGATAAGCCTCCTGAGAAATTAAAGTCTAGAATAATTAGTGAAAAACAAAAGACAAACAGTGAGAAATGATAGTTTTAAAGATGGAGCCCTATAGATCCAGTCCACACAGGAGCTGGAGCTAGACAATTAGAAAATGGCTCCTGTGGTTTATTTAAGGGGGTACATCAAAGGCAAAGGTAAGGTTTCAAGGGCAGAGTCTTGCTTCATGAGGTCTCACAGTCAGCAGGTTGATTGGCATCTTGGCAGGCCACACCCATCTCAGAGGGGCTGTGCGGCTGTGGTTGTAGCAGGTCATCCCATCTCCAATGCTGTGTGGGACCTGGGGAAGAGCTTAAATAAGGCTCATGATGTGTCTGGGCAGTCAACCAGAGGAAATGTCCACTGGAAGTTCCCAGACACCCAGTTCACCTATTCATTAGGCTGCGGTCCACACACAGCCCACAGATGGCTTTCCACAATTTACCACCAAGCCTTGGAAGTAACACACTGTCATTTGTGCAATTTCCTCTTGGTTTCCTAGATCAGTTCTATTCATTGTGTGAGAATTAGGAGATGAGAATTATTAGGAGCCAGCTTGGAGGCTGGTTATCTCATATGGTTTGTTTACCACGTGCAGGTGGGAAATGGTAGTGGTGACCAGACAAGAGGTGCCCAGCTAAGCTACCCTCTAAAAATATATACATATGTAGCAACATGTCTGAAGAGAGATGTCCTCTGCCATTGGCTGCTTGGTGAACTACTCTTTGCAAATAAGTCAACAAAACTCTAAAAAAGAAAAAAATCTAATTATAACCCATTGTTAGACTCAGAGGTGTTTTATCCACACTGTAAAATAACAATTTACTTGGCTTAATTTGACAGATCTTCTGTGATTATGATAAGTGACAGAATGATACATACTATGTGTTTCTCAATAATTTAAACAACATCCCAGTCTCTTGAGCAGGCAGGAGGAAAGATGAATACACTTCCATTACATTCATATTTTATATAACACCTATTTTGCTTCTAAACTGTCTGCTGGTGTAGTTGTTTGAACAGGCTTAATTTATCTCTTGCCGAGCCACGCTCAATAAGCTGTCATTCCTATAGTTACTTCCTAGGAATATGCTTTAAGAACAAGGAAATCAGCAAGATACCACTGGCCCCGAAACTTCTTCTGTCAGCTGGGAAAACACAAAGCCAACTGGTGTCTTTCAGCCATCACAGCAGAACTAACTGTCAAATGGGAAATTAATTTAACCAACCGTTGGTGGTAATCAGTCTATTTAATTAGTTATTGAATTAATTTGTTTCTCTGGTGGTTATTTTATAGCTTTCTTTTGTTTTAAACAAATGAAAAAAACCAAAACCCAAATTCTTGGAGAACCAGCCTTCAGAAAGAAAAAGAAAAGGAAAAAAAAAAAGTATTAACAAGAATGAGAGTAGCCAATGGACCAAGAGAGACTTGCCATCTTGGCACCATGCAAAAGGTTGTCACTTTGGTGACCAGGACTGCACTGCATGCTTGCCTCTTGTAATGGTAGATGTTAAGAATAGTTGTGGGGTTTGGCCAATTTTTTTTTTCCCATTTCCAACTCAAACAGAAGACAAATTTAGTTTTTATTCATTTTCAAATGCGTTTTGTCACAGTTTTGGAAGAATGGTGTTTGCTGTTTAAATTCGAACTTTTAAAATTCTTTCTTGCCCATGGATAATGCAACAGGAGGGGGCAGATAAATAGCACCGATCTGAAATTTAAAAGAAAACCACAAGCACAGTGAGCCCTTGACACAAATCCAGATGCTGTTGTCTCTGATGTCGTTTTGAGTCAAGTGGCATCCTTAGGTGCCAAGACTGCAGCCTGTTCTCTCTGGCCACGCAGCGCCCGTACATCATAGTAAAATCAATGTGTTTATGTTGTGCTTCAGCGCCAGCGAGTGATGAAGAGGAGGGACCTGTCCTCTTTGACAACTCTGGCAAGGTGGCTGCTGATCCCTTCGACACGTCCTCTGGGTCTGTGCAGCTCATCGCAATCAAACCCGCAGCCCTCCCCGTGGTGCACCCCACTTCGGACAGGAGCCAGGAGACCTCAGCCGTCCTCAACGGGGAGGTGAGCATCCAGCGACCCTGTGCAGAGTGTGGCCAGACCTCAGGGATTCGGAGTAAGGGGTATTGAGCTGACCTCAGCCTCTCAAGGTCATTTTTGCCTCTGCACGTGGTAGACCTCCATGGTTGACGCCTTCAGAGCATTTTCTGCCTTCTCTGAAAGCCCAGAGGGAGCCTTTTAAAAAGTCTGGTTATGAAGAGGAAAATCAGAAATCCTACTTCCCCTGCCCCTCACGCATACAGCCTTCTGCCTCACACCCCGAAATTTCCATTAAGGATGTCATTGTGATGGTGATGGGAGGGGGGTGAATTGAGAGGGAAGTGGAGAATCTATCATTGTGTGGACAGGGATGGGGCCTGCTGTAGGCTCTGAAATGGCATTTATTCGTTCCAGAAAGCTCAAAACAACCCATTGGCTGCTTTGAGGAGAATACCAATGGGTAACATGATATTAATCAACTTTCCTTGGAGTTTGAAAAAAATTGGTAACGTATGTTAGGAAGCGATGATTTACCAAATAAAATTAGATAGAGAGATAATAGATGAGGACAGATGATAAACAGGTGATAGGTAATTGATAGATAATTGATGACTGACAGATGGTGGGGGGAGGGGCAGAGCCCATGCTATCTCCAAGGGAGAACAAGAAGTCAGGTAAAAATTACCTGCCATCCTCTGTCTTCTGCAGAAAAATGGTCAGAGGGTTAAAAATGTTTCTGAACCGTTAAGAAGGTGTATACGGAACCTGCTTGTGAACACTTAAGCTACACAGGGGTGCGGGCATGTGAGCACACACAAGCACTCACACTCTGATGCTTTCCTCTGATGCCAAGCCATCGGGATGATCATGCCTTTCATTTGCTTATGCCCTGATGTTACCTCCAACAGGTGGGAGATTTCTGAAGTTTTAAAGTCTTTTTATTACCATACCTTAAGAAAGTGTCGCAGTCCCTGTACAACCAGGTGTTGTAAACATCCATCGGGTGTTGTCCTTATTCCACTATCCAGGATGCTTACACAAGCATTTTATGAACCTGATTGAAGAAGTGCCTCTGGGCAGAAAGACTGAGCTGGCCTAAAGTTGTGATAGTTGACTTTTAAAAATAACCAGTTATATAGACTCATAGAGCATCCATTCTACCTTCCTAATTTTTTAGATAAATAAAACTGAGCCCAAGGGATCAGATGGCTTGCTCAAAGTCAAAGTGAAGATTACTGTGGTAGCCATGATGTTCAGGTGCCCGGGCTCCATGTCCAATGTTCCTTCTTTCTCTTTAAAAAAAAAATTTTTTTTCAGCCCATTGGTGAAAAAATAGCATTGATCTCTTGAGCTACACCACCATGGTTTGAATCCCAGCCCTTTCATTTGCCATCTGTGTGACCTTAGGCAGGTTAGTTAAATCTTCTGTATCTCAGCATCTTCATCCATAAAATAGGGCTGCTCTGAGGCATTAGGTAAAGCATTAGAACAATGCCTAACTCACAGTAAGCACTTTATTATTACCATCAATCAACAAGGATGGATTAGTTGATCATGTACTTTGTGCCCCTTGGCTCTATAATCTGATAGCCTGGATGCCTTCTCAAAACCACTGAATCTCCATGGGTGCAATTCTGCCATCAGACATGCAGGGTGCTGAGGCCAATAAGAATTAGCTGCTCTTAATTAGGACCCTCTACCTAATTGTGGCTGCCTCGCCTGGGTCTCTTTGTCCCATCTTAATCATAAGAGCATCATGGAGACAGACTCCGAATCTGGGATAGATGTGATTTACCACTCCCTTTTCCTCCCAGGCCCATCACCCTGTCACAGAAGGAGAACAGATGAGCATTTTCCTTGTCCAGAAATGAATTCTTGCTACATTTGGGTAGTTAAAGGAATGGACCTTGCTGGCATTTGGATTGGAAGAGAGCCCTGAACTGTTCTCTGTAATTTGCTGCCTTGTGGAGCTTGACACAGATTGCTTTATAATTTTCTTTCTTCTTTTCTCATGGGTGACTGGTTTAAATGGAAAAAAAAAAAACCCCATAACCCCAAAGCCATAAATTTTCCTTTTATGAATTACAGGAAATTCTTTTAAAGAGTACTTTAAAGAAAACATAACAACCACAAAGAAAGTTCAGCAAAGTGGGTGTAAACTCCTCATCATGCTGTTATTTATTAATCACTGTCATCTGCCTGAGTCTTTCACAGGTCAGAGGGACATTAGCCATGTTCCTTTCTAAAAAACCAGACTGGCTTTGCCCCATCCAGCAGGACCTGGTTGGCATTAGTAGCCAGATGAAGCTTCAAAATGGTCTCTCTGATTTACTGAAATGTTCATCCTTGTGCAGTTTGATAGTGTGGCCTCAGGAGCAGGACACTTGTCCTCCCTTCCCTCTCCAGTCATCCCAACTCACAGGCCTCAGGGACTAGTGGTCTCATCCAGCTGGGCCTCAGATAGACGGCCAAGGGAGGCCACTGGGTTTCTCAGGGCTGGAACTAGACTCAGAACATAAAAACTAGCTGGTGAACCAGGTCAGAGGTCCCCACATCAAGGAACCAAAAGAATGAAGAAAGAATAAGGACCAGCACCACAAAACGAAGAGTGAAGAGTAAGACCTGGGCCTGAGCAGCACCCAGGACAGTGGGAGAAGGAGGTCCTGATGGAAGGGGTCAGGTGACCGAGTGAGAGCCAGGCTCCATGCTATTTGTGGGCTGGTGTGAAAAGGGGACCCAGGTGAGTTTGGTTGGCTCAGAGGACCAGAGGTGAAGCCTAGGCTAGCTTTTCCAGGAGTTGTGACCTTCTGGGGAAAGCCTCCCAGATGTCAGGTATGCTGGGTCAGGTGTGGCCTGAGACTGTCTCTCCCTCCAGGTGAACAAAGCCCTGAAACAGAAGTCAGACATCGAGCACTATCGGAACAAACTGCGCCTCAAAGCCAAGAGGAAGGGGTACTATGACTTCCCCGCAGTGGAGGCAAACAAGGGTCTGACCGAGAGAAAAAAGATGTATGAAAAAGCCCCAAAGGAAATGGAGCATGTTTTGGATCCAGACCCGGAGCTGTGCGCTCCATTCGCGGAGTCTAAAAACAGGTGCGGCTCTAGGGAATTTGCTTTAGATTGCTGTATCATATGTGGGATTTGGGCTAAGGATGCCCTGGGCAATATAGACCTGCTCCCTTGATCTGGTGCCTTAGGACTGTGATCTTTGCAGGCTGCTGATCTGGGCCTCGCTAGAGTGTGCAAGCAGATGCTCTATGATGAGTCAGGAAGAGTGGAAAATTGAAGCCATTAAAAAAAAAAATTCCAAGGCAAACAACCATAATTGTCCTTTGCCTTAATGGTATTTTCAAACCAGTAGCCATTTCAGAGCTGGGTGAAAATATAATTATCACCTACCTTATTAATGCAACTTCTAGATCAAGGGACATTGTATTTTTCAATTATGTTAGTGGCTGTTGCATAAGAAAAGCAAATTTCATGCTTCACCTTTTTATTCGGGCTTAGTAAGTGCTTATCACATTGCTGCTCAGCGTTCCATGCTGGTTCATCTTGTGCACTCATAGATTTGTTCAATTTTTCAACATTTATTGTCACCTGCTATGCATTAGGTACCAGTCAGGATGCTGCATACTGTCATGACCGTGTGTGTTCTCATTTATTCCTTCAATTCCTTCAACATTTTATAGTGGACCAGACAGGCTGATTGCTGGAAATTAAGGTCTGATGGGAGAGAAATATAATTACCCTAAAAATGCTAATCACAAGTCTAATGGGTTTTTGAAATTCGGGCTGTCATGGTGATCTAAAGGGGGCGCCTAGCCTAGTGAGGTAGGGCTAGTGTAGGTGGTTTGAATTGGCATCTGTCTCAATCTGTTCTATGATGCTACAACAGAACACCTGAGACTGGATAATTTATAATGAACAGAAATTCATTTTCTCACAGTTCTGGAGATTGAGAAGTCCAAGGTCAAGATGCCAGCATCTGGCAGGAACATTCTTGCTGCATCATCACATGGCCGAAGGTAGAAGGACAAAGAGGGCAAGAGGAGGCCAAACTCACCCTTGTGCAATGACATTAACCCATTTTGTCCCATTGCCCTTGAAGTGGAACACCTATGCATATTTAAATATAGTACATAACGTATAATACAATTACATAGGAAGAGTATAATTGTATTATAATATCTTCATGTTAGTGCTAATTAATATAATAACATTTAAGTTCTAGATTATGATTTTCAGCCTATTTTAATGCATCTGTGCCAATTTCATTGAAAGAACTGAAAACTTGGGGTTTCATGGGTTAATGTCATCCACATGGGCAGAGCCTTGGTGGCCCTATCGCCCGCGAAATGTCCTGCCTCCTAACATTGCCAAAGCAGCAACCAAATTTCAACATGGGTTTTTGGAGGAAAAAGAACATTTTACCCATAGCAGCTGCCTTCCAAGCCACCTCAGCAGAGTGCCCTCGAGTACCTGGGAAGAGGTTCAGGTTAGCGAAGCCAAGCACACCCACCTTTCTCCCCTTCCTGCCTCCCTGAGCCATTTTCATGGTTCAAGACTGCCTCTTTCCTACACCCACTCTCTCCTTGGTGACTTCCCTCCCCCAGCTTTAAACATGCTGCCACTGTCACCTGTCACAGAGCCACTGCAGGTCCATGCTCACAGCTGGGGCTCACTAGGGAAGTTCCTGGCCTGAATGGGGTATTTATCAAAAGGAAAAATGACTACATGACAGGCTTGGATTAAAGCCACAAAACCAACTTGAGAGGGGGAGTGAAAATTTATGAATAGAATCAGCATAACTTATTCTCTACAAAGAAAAAGAGGAAACTCTCAACCGGAGCTTAATTTACCATGCTTCCAATTAGGCTTGGTTGGTATGGAAGCTATTGATATAAAGTGACACCGTGACAGGGTTCACGATGCATGTGCTTTCCTGCACTTGATGACTGTAGGAAAGAAGAGAAGATATGGATTTTGTCTGGAGGCTGGAGGTTACTTCAACTTTTACTTTGCAGTTTGGGACCCCTTATCTAGTGGTCTCTTATAGTCTGGGCTGAGACCTCCTTTTCCTCTGTTTTCTGCTAACATTAAGGGAAAATGAATCGATGATCATGTGCAAATAAGAGGAACTTAGTTTGACAGTTACTTGAGCAAGAACAATTTCAATGATGGCTTTTTTATGAAAAGATAATGAACAAAGAATGAATGGACCTGTCTTCTGCACTGTCCAGCACAGGTTCAGGCCAGATGCGGAAGGCCTTGGTTGGTGGCCTGCTGCTGCTGCTGGGCATGTGTCACTAATTCTCAGTACATGTTCACTGAAGAAATGATTCAATGACTCTTGAAGCACCAAAAACTAATTTATTTAAGAACTTTGACCAGGTTATGGAACAATAATAATGGATAATCACAAACTGGGTGACCTGGGAATAGGAATGGAGATAGGATCCTTAAGAGATGGGAAGGGGGAGAAAGATCATCAGAAAAGAAGAGGAGATAGACTCCCTGTAAGCTTGAGGGTGTAATTCTTGACACATTCTGCCCTTGACTCCAGAGGCTGCCTGCTGTTTATCTGTTTTCACAGGTTAGAGTTACCTGTTAATTGCTGTTCTCTCTACAGCTCTCCAGAGACCCAACCACAGCAGGCGCAGGGAGAGAAACATTGTCCAGTCCAGAGGTAGCATCAGTAATTTTACCTTCAGACTGAAGCTCAGTATAAAAAATAAATAAATAAATAAATAAATAAGGCTACAAAGCTTAGATTCCAAATGTTGACTCATCATTAAATCTTTTAAAAGAATTTTCATGGCTCTTTTTTTCCTAGAATCAGAGAAACACTCCATTTTATACTATAAACTTTTACCAAGACAAAGTGCACACTAGTGCGTAGGTGCGGTAGTGCAGGCTCCCATCCCGATGCCCCGGTTCACGCCTGCATTCTATAAACCTGTAGGAATCCCACCTAACAGCTTTTCTCAGCAGTGTGAGTTGTTAATATGTTATGCAGCATCCTCCCTTGATGACAAATGGGAATTGATGGATAAATAGCCCTGGCAGGGGAACTCTGAGGTGTCAGCTATGGTGCTGTAATAACCACATTTTCTAGTTTCTGTATTCGGTGCTTAGATGCTTAGACCTAGGAGTCTTTGCTGACTCCAGAAAAACCGTCCCTCCCATGGCTACCCAGTTCCTAGTGATAGGAGAGGACTTAACCTGCAGATGCACTTGTCATATGCAAACCAACCCATCCAGAACCCATGCCTTGGTCACCACCTTTAGATGATCTCACTGGCTCCCACTCTAGGCCATTATCCACCTGCCCAAATCACCCCAAGGCCAAGTACCAGATGACTGAGCCCTCTTGCCTTAGGATCTGCCCAAATTATCCAAACTAGCCCACTACCAGCCTGCTCCTTCCCTGCCCATTACTTCCCACGGAAACCACAAGAAAGTCTTTCGCCCATGTTTTCTCCTGACTCCTTGGCCTCCTGACCAACCTGGTGCTTCCCTAGGTGGCCTCTCCGGGGTGGGACCTATCCGCTCCTCTTGAGATCTTCGGGTGTAACAAGTTACCTTTTCATCATCTCCTGATCTTCCAGCCTTGTCAGACCTGAATAATAACTAAACCTACGTTTTAAAGCAACCATCTCCCACACTTCTCCAATGAGTTTGAGCCCCAGGTATCCAAAACACTCATCTGCTCCACAGTGGATGGCTTCCCTCCTTTTCCTCCCCATTCCTCTGGCACTGCCTCACAAATTAACCCCTGGCACTCAAGTCACCACAGAGTGCACATCTGGGGACCCACCTGAAGGCGATAACCTATAAAGACAGAGTTGCTCTGATGGAACCTCTAGGTCATCTCAGGGTTCAATTTGTGAACTACTTTATTAGCAACCCTGGGATTAAAAAGCTCTTGAAAAGCCAAATGAAACTCATCATTATCCACACAACAATATTTTCAGAGGCAAAAACTTACTTCTCAAGTTTGCCTGTTCTAAAATTTATTAACTTTTCTAAAATACAGCAAAATACCAGCAAAAAATGAGTCTATCTAATGGAACTCCTTTTGATCAAATTAGGCCATTTTTCTACCTAAAAGCCTAATTCTAAGTAGCTATCCATATACCAGGCACATATTGGGGATTTGGTCAGTGGAGATCTGTGTTGAACCTCAGGTGGAGCTGTGCATCCTAATGGCACATCTTCTCTGAGGGAAGATTAGACTCCAGTGTCTTAGTTCTTACCCATGTTCAGACTTCTTGAAATGGCTTATACCATCTCCCTATTGTATTTCTAATACTTACACAATAACCTCCTGAAATCTCCGTTGTCAATCCTACTACTTACTTGGCCACCATCCTTATTAGTGAATCTTTTCTCAATGAGCTAATTGGCAATCTCAGGAGAGTTGTGAAGCCTGCTTTTTTAAAGATATCATTTGTAATTAGGTCAGGATGGGAATTCTTCAGGCTCTAAAGTGTGAGTCACTCAGAACCGATTTTGTCTCACAAGCCCACTGAGGTTGGGTGCTTTTCCTAAAGGAAGCCTGTGATTTGAGAATAACTAGAGGACACAGTTTATAATATCAGGTTGAAGTTCTGATATTAGTCAACATTCTTGGTGGTTGAAAATGATGGAAATCCAGCACAAACTGGTTTAATAAATAGGGGATGTAGTATTTAACATTGTTGAAAGGTCAAGGTTTCAGTGTGGCTGGATCAAGGAGAATATACAATGTTTTCTGCATTTGCTCTTGCTCTCTCTTTACTCCTTGACAGCCTGGTTTGAAGGCAGGCTTTACCCTCATGGTGGTAAACTGGCTGCCAGTAATTCCAGGCTTGTGTCCCTATCTTCTTAAAAACTTCAATGCCAAGAGAATGCCCCTTTTCCTAGTTGCCCTAGCTAAAGCTCGGGGACTCAGTCTCATCAAACCAACTCGGGTCATGTGCCCACCCCTTGACCAATCACATAGCCATGGAGATGCAATGCTGTGATTGGTCCTGCTCGTCAGTTGAATTTTCTAGAGCCTCGGAATGTGCTACTCCCTGGCCTGAAATACTCTGTACTCACATCAGCATGGGGCTGACTCCATTTAGGACTTTGCTAAAAATGCCACCTCCCACAGAGGTCTTCCCTGACCTCTATCTGAAGTCATCTTCCATCCCAGTCACCCTCTGTCATAGCCCCTGTTTTTCTCTATAACGCTGTCATTCTGAAATTGTCATGTTAATTGTCTGTCTCCATCATTAGGATATAAAGTCTGAGAGAGTCAGAGCCACGGATGCTCAGCATCTTCCATGGTGCCTGGCACATAGTAGGCACTCATTAAAGAATGGATGGATGGATGGCCCTGTGTTAGCTTTCTGTCAGTGTGACAGAATAACTGAGATGGACATCATGGCTGAACAAAGCCATTCATATCATGGCAGCCTGGAAGGCGAGAGAGAGAGAGAGAGAGAGAGAGAGAGAGAGAGAGAGAAGGAAGAGAAGGGGCTGGGATAAAATAGAGCATTCAAGAGCACACTCCCAAAGACCTCTTTTCTTCAAGGAGGCCCCACCTCCTAATTTACCACCACCTCCCAATAGTCCATTAAATTATGACTACACCAATGGATGAATCCATTGATGGGGTCAAAGCCCTCATGATCCTATCACCTTCCAAAGGCCCCACCTCTGAACACTGCTGGTTTGGGGGACCAAGCCTTCAACACCTGAGCTTTAAGATCTAAACCATAGCAGGCCCCAAATTGCCTCTCGATTTATGGCTTCTTAAGCCCAGGAGAGAATCCACTGTGGTAATTGTAGAATCACAATATTAAGCAGCCCACTGGCTACAGGGTTTATTGACACATAGAATCCTGCACTTGAAATCAGATTGAGTAAAAGGAACCAGAGACCTGCTCAGTCAACAAAGTCAGCAAAGGCAAGTTGGTTGTGCCAGCATTAGCTGTCCTGGAGGGTCCAGGCAGAGCCCCTGGTCTTGCCATCAGCAGAATTTTAGATGAGGTTGCACTGTTGCAATTGATTGTAATTACCTAGTCTCCATATGAAAGAACATTTATAATTCAACCATATGGTTCCAGACTCTTGGGGAGGGGGATCTTTATTCTACTCTTTCTATAGCCTATTCTGGCCAGGGAACAAACACCATCAGTTTTGAGATTTGTGAAGCAAATCCAAACCCTTCATTGGTTGCCTGTAGTTTTGGATCAGTGGAGAATTCCATCTGTCAGGGCATTTGCTGCATCATAACAGTTGTTGAAATTTCTTCAGGCAACAGATGAAGAACTCTGTCTACCGAAGCCGGCAGTCTCTGAACAGCCCGAGTCCAGGAGAAACCGAGATGGACCTTCTGGTCACTCGAGAGAGACCCCGGCGTGGCATCCGGAACAGTGGATATGATGTAAGTCTCTGGTGGGCTGGGGTGAGCGCCAGCTTTGCTTTCCCCCAAAAGCAGAGAGGATAGAACAGCCCATAATGTTTCATTTACTACCTGTTTGTAGAATTTTGAAATGCATTCAAATGTTTTCAATTTTTTATTATCTCTTTTCCAAAGTAAGCCTCTTTGGAAATATGTCAGAGTAACAAATTATTGCAGAAAGGATTATGATTGCTATAAATTGCTACCCTATTTTCATTTTCCCATCTTACATTACTGGCCTTAAATTCAATGGAGATTCTAAATGTCCTTAATTTTTTCCCCCTCTGTCTTTAGAAACTCAGTAAGATCCATGAAAAAGAGTGAGAATTCATTTGAACATGGGTTTCTTTTAATCCATAGCAGTGATGAAAATTTGGATTTGTTCCTGATTTCATAACTCCTCATATGCCATGGAAACAATGAGATGTCCAACAGAGCGAGTAGATGATTTCATGTGACAAAGCACATGCTTATGTGCTGTGATAGATCCAAACTGCAGAAATTCTGCTAAGCCCTTCAGACTTCCCCAGATGAGAAGCTGCAATTGGATGCCTCCTGTCAAGTATACATCCTGGACCTGGAATTGCACCATGAGCTCATGTGAACAGTTCAATAATGCTTCTCCCTCTCCCACAATTTGAAAGAGGCTTGATATGCTCTGAGGTTTTATAGAACATATTTCTTATCAGGCATGGAGGCACTGGCCTATAATCCCAGCAACTCCAGAGGCCGAGGCAAGAAGGTCACAAGTTCAAGACCAGGCAAAGCAACTTAGTGAGGTCCTAAGCCACATAGCAAGACTCTGTCTCAAAAAAAAAAAAAAAAAGAGGAAGGTTAAAAAAAATAGAAGTGATGGGGGTGTCGCTAAGTAGTAAAGCACCCCTGGGTTCAATCCCCAATTCTTTCTCATTTCCCTAAAATGTTCCTCTGATTACAAATTGAAAAGTTTCTCTAAGAAGAGTTATAATTTAAATATGTCTAGAGAAAGTTGTTACAATTTGAGAAACTATAATTTGAAAATCACACTCAATTTCTTAAATATATCATACTGATATGAAGGCAAGACTATTTTTTCCCCTTAGGATCAGTCACTGCTTGCCACATTACCATTCTGAAATTATCATGTTAATTGTCTGTCTCCATCATTAGGATATAAACTCTGAGAGAGTTGGGACCATGGATGCTCAGCATCTTCCATGGCACATAGTAGGCACTCATTAAAGAATGGAGAGGTAGATGGCTTTGTGTTAGCTTTTCTGTTGCAATTGATTGTAGTTCATAGTTTTGCCACGAAAGTTTAAAATGAGATTTTTTTTAATGGTTTAATCAAAGAATAGGGATATTCTGCTTAATTTCCTTTTCTGGTGATCTTTTTTACACTTAAGCTTGATGTTGGGTTGGTGGGGAAACTCCTTTCTATTTTTTTTCCTTTTTCCTAAAATTGTTTGATAGCTTAGTTTTTATAAAATTCTAGAATTTTTTTAAAACTTAAAATGGACCTGTATTTTATTTATTTATATATGTTGCTGAGAATCAAACCCAGTACCTCACACGTGCTAGACAAGCACTTTACCACTGAGCTACAACCCCAGCCCCAGCCCCAAATTCTAGAAATTTTGAGCACATCTTTTTTTGTTAAACTATCCTAGTAGATCTTTTTTTTTTTTACCAAATTCGTTCATTGATTTGATCATCAATGTGCAATTAAAAATCAGCATAAGTTTCATGTTTTCAATCAACCCCCGAGAGTGAACAATCTTCCTGGAATGCTTACTGAGTTTGAGGAACTTTTCTTTCTGCTTAAGCACCTGGGATCAAAGATTTTTAGTTTATCTCAAGATTAATATTAACAGGTTTCTTGTGAAAGTCTAGGCAGAGGCACTTTTAGCAATGACAAAATGGACCAGAGATTCCCTGAGAATCTTTATTTTCTAAAATGCTTAAATGAGAATCTGACATGACTTGCAGTACTTACCTAATACCTTTAGAACATTATGTTAGTAAATTGCTTAGAACAATAGGAGAGAGAGAGAACTTTTAAATTTTTAAAAGGAGACTGCTCACCCCTCACGGACATGTACAGATATTCCAAATACAGATAACTTTAGGGAGAACCTCTTCATTCTAATAGAATTTTCAAAAATCTACATTTCTTTGAGAAGTATTCATGTTCTCAAAAACAGAAATATAAGCTTCCTTAAGGAGAAACAGTTATCTACAGAACAGCTTTGTGAATTTAGGCTATTGAGGAACAGTTTTAAAATTTAGACTATTGACCCTAAGAATGACATTGCTAGCTGGGCAGGATGGCACATTCTTGATTGTCCCAGCTACTTGGGAGACTGAGGCAAGATTATGATGAGTGAAGCCAGCCTGGGCAATTTAGTGACACACTGTTTAAAAAAAAATGAAATCACTTAATATGTATCTCCTCTTCTATTTTTTTATACTAAACATATGAAAAGTAGCTATCATTTACTGACCACATGCTATCCCAGATCCAGGGCCCATCCCCTTAACCATCATGCGATATGGCTTGTATGTACACCTCTCCTTACTACGTGCCTATCCTCATATCCTGTAATATAGGTTCAATATTTCCAAACCTCTGAAAGTGACCTCTGTAGGTCTCAGAAGGAGTCCTACATGCATAGGTCGCCCAAACAAAAAATAGACCAGCAAATAAAGTAGAAAAAGAAGCAAGTCATAGTTTTAAACAATGCCTTCATTTTCTGAGCTCAGTCATTTTCTAAAAAATGCCAAGGTCCTCCTTCCTGGCAAAAGAATCCATTAGCCCAGCAGTGAACCTGTCATTCAGTTGGAACATGTCATTCTTCCTACTGGGTCTGGGGATCTCAAAAGCAGGCCAAAATACCCAGTCATTTCTGCCAGGTTAGGAAAGATTGACAACAGTAAAACAAAAGCTCCAGAAGGTTTATTTAATTTTGAATTTCTCAAGAGTTGACAACTCCAGAGTTGTCCTAAAGGAAAAGTCTGCATGTAAAAATAAATGAATAAATACATAAGTAAGCAGACCGATACAGCTACCTAGGCAAATCCTAGCCCCAGGATGGATGGCAGCCTGGATCGTTTGCAACATTTCCCATAGAGCGAGAGGTGCTCACACCTGCAGAAGAGAGACTAAACCCCAAGGAGTTTGGATTCATTGTGTTTTGCAGCAATAATTCACAACCTCTTGGTCACTCTATCAACCAATGTATTCCCACTGGTAACTCTGGCCCAGGTGGTAGTAATTTTCTAAGAGTCCACACCCCTGCTAAGAGAATGCAGTATTTTTTTTACACAATACCTTTATTTTATTTATTATTATTTTTTAATGTGGTGCTGAGGCTCAAACTCAGTGCCTCACATGTGCTAGGCAAGCACTCTACCTTGGAGCTACAACCCTGGCCCCAGTCACAAACTGATTAGTCCTACAAGGCCAGACTATATCATCAAAGTGACTCAGGCACTGAAATGAAGTGGAAAACAAAATTTCATTCTATGTGTAAAAGCAAAAAAGTATTTTCTAATGTTGTATTCTGAATGCAAATCATGTAGAAAATAACAAAGCAGTGAATAAAAGCCTCCTGATTGCAAGCCGGGGTCCCCAGCATGTCCTGAACACTTGTTGGGGAAGAGAAGGAGGCAGGATTGGACAGAGTTAAAAGCTCAAGACCATGGTACAAATACCACAGGGTCTTGGCTAACCCCACAGGGTGCTCTGAAGCCCAGGTGGCACTGCAGACTTATCCCAAGTTTGGGCAAAACAGCTGGACTTTTGTACAGTAGTATGGATCAGTCATTGGGTGGCCTTGGGTGAGGCACTCTTTTTAGCCAAGGACAGATATCTAGCAGGAGCTGACATCAGAGACCTGGTGGCTGGCAGTGTGCCCTGCTGCTGGGTGAACCAGTCCTCCAGTTGTGAGCAGCATGACCAGAACTATTAGTTCCTCCCACTCCCTATGCTGCTTGGTCCACTTGAGGCCCCCAAACCTCTGTAGAAGCCAGAGAACAGTGGACAAAATAAGAATATCCCTTGGGAGTTGCTATCCCTTTCACTGCCTCTAGCAAAGGTTTATTGAGCTTGGTGAAGCCTTTACAGCAGGTGTGCATTTAACATATGCGAATTCACCAGTACAAAAATAAAAGACCATTAAATCCATGCTAAAAATTAGCTTTTTTCACGTATCCTGTTTGTATTATCCATTGTACATTTCCTTTTCCCTATTACTCCTAAGATGTATCCACAAAAGACATTTGAAGGGATTTTCAAGGGTTTGACTCTCCACAACTTTTACCTTCTCCACCAGCATTAGCATCTAAGCGCCCCATGGAATTCCACCCTACCTACCTAAGTGAGGCTCTGCGGAAGGACAAGATGTTCGAACTCTATGCCTGCCCTTGGGGGTCACAGATGAATGGAGGAGAAAGGTAGAGGCACACACAACCTGCTGTGACCATGAACTTGGATGAGAGGAGGGACTCCTCTTGCAGGTCTCTTCCTCCCTGTCTATCCCAGGGCTGCTGCCTGGTCCAGTCCCCATTACTCACCAGGCTAAAGCTGCCAAAACGCTGCTGGGGGAATCCTGGAACACACATTGCTGCAAATCCTCCAGTGACTCCTAGCAGCTTTGAGCCCGAGACATCTAAGCTCCTGACCTGGGACTCATCTGCTGTGGAGCCCAGGCATGCCCTGCAAGCTGATGGTCCTCACTCCTTAACCCTCCCCGTGGCTCCAGGCTGAACGCCCTTCCCCACACTTGGCGTTGGGTTTCCTGTCTCATGTTGGTGCACAAGTTCATCACTCACAACCCCCTTCTCACCTGCTTCATCAGCATCAAGTATTCTCAGCACTCTCACTACTGACACTCGGGCTGTGTATGGAGGACCACCCTATGCACCCCTGGCCTCTACCCCATAGCTTCCAGTAGCCCCTCCCAGTTGTGACACCCCAAATATCTCAAGGCATTACCACATGT